ACGGAATCGACCAATCCACTAAAAAAAGCTACCTATTAAGAGAGAAAATCCACCAAGATAGCGAGGTGGGCGCGAACCTATGTTAGGTGGGTTGCTTGGGTTCATACGATTCTGGTTAGGCAAAACAGCTGTATTTTTGACCGAGTGGCAAATTTATAGAACAGTTTGGGCACTTCAGCGCCAAGATTTTTCCTTGACGTCATTAAATCCTTCAAGCCAGTCCTTGAAGGAGGTGTCAGAGGCATCCTTTTGTTCAGAACAGGAATCTTCACTACAAGTTTACTAACGACCGCAGTTAAAGCACAGCTGTAAGTCTGTAAGTCACTGGGAAGTGGACTCTGAGAGATAACTGGCATCAGGATAGCCAGGATTCATGAAACATTTACACATCCACATACGAAACCTATACATCTTTCCTCAGTCAAGGCGGCATTGTTTACATTTATTAAACAATTTACAAGCCTCGAGACTTCACAGCCTAAGGTTATTATTGTTATAAACAGCCTCGTAGTGCTTCGAAGTTCATGCACTTATACAAATTAAACCAGACAAGGGAAAGGTGGGCCGGCTGCATACTATTTATCACCCTACATTGTCACCCAACACTTGACACTATCCCTCGAAAGAGGTGCTTGAACAACAAGGCTAACTAAATAAATAAATAAATAAATAATTTTAACTAACTAAATAATTAAATTGGCTGAGCTAAATATTTACTATTAGCTAAATTGGCTAACTAAATAATTTGCTGAGCAACTAGTCCTTCATAAAAGAAAACTTGGACTATCAGTAACATAAAAATTAGGATGAATAAACGCAATTAAAAAAATTCCACAATTAGCATTGCCATTTCTAATAGCCTATATATATATATATATATATATATATATATATATATATATATATATATATATATATATATAAAGATGATGCATTAAACTCTTTTGTGTAGTTATCTGTTGATGATAACAGCTTCACGAGGAAAATCCAAGAAGACATGATGCAAAACGGTCTGACAGATGGTTGCTGGACTTCAATCCAGATAAGTGCAAGGTCCTGAGGATGGAAGGAGAAATGAGGCTAAAGGAACAACGAGACAAGTTCCTACCTTGCATACATTATGCAAGGTAGGACCTTACAAAGATAAGTAAGGAAAAGTGATCTTTTAGTAGACATTCAACCGAATCTACATACGCAGGTTCACCTAAATAGTGTCGCATCAGTGATAGGACCAGAGGACACGGGTGGAAGCTGGAGACACAGATGAGGCAGGACCAGAGGACACGGGTGGATGCTGGAGACGCAGATGAGGCAGGACCAGAGGACACGGGTGGATGCTGGAGACACAGATGAGGCAGGACCAGAGGACACGGGTGGAAGCTGGAGACACAGATGAGGCAGGACCAGAGGACACGGATGGAAGCTGGAGACACAGATGAGGCAGGACCAGAGGACACGGGTGGAAGCTGGAGACACAGATGAGGCAGGACCAGAGGACACGGGTGGAAGCTGGAGACACAGATGAGGCAGGACCAGAGGACACGGGTGGAAGCTGGAAACACAGATGAGGCAGGACCAGAGGACACGGGTGGAAGCTGGAGACACAGATGAGGCAGGACCAGAGGACACGGGTGGAAGCTGGAGACACAGATGAGGCAGGACCAGAGGACACGGGTGGAAGCTGGAGACACAGATGAGGCAGGACCAGAGGACACGGGTGGAAGCTGGAGACACAGATGAGGCAGGACCAGAGGACACGGGTGGAAGCTGGAGACACAGATGAGGCAGGACCAGAGGACACGGGTGGAAGCTGGAGACACAGATGAGGCAGGACCAGAGGACACGGGTGGAAGCTGGAGACACAGATGAGGCAGGACCAGAGGACACGGGTGGAAGCTGGAGACACAGATGAGGCAGGACCAGAGGACACGGGTGGAAGCTGGAGACACAGATGAGGCAGGGCCAGAGGACACGGGTGGAAGCTGGAGACACAGATGAGGCAGGACCAGAGGACACGGGTGGGTGCTGGAGACACAGATGAGGCAGGGCCAGAGGACACGGGTGGAAGCTGGAGACACAGATGAGGCAGGACCAGAGGACACGGGTGGAAGCTGGAGACACAGATGAGGCAGGACCAGAGGACACGGGTGGAAGCTGGAGACACAGATGAGGCAGGACCAGAGGACACGGGTGGAAGCTGGAGACACAGATGAGGCAGGACCAGAGGACACGGGTGGATGCTGGAGACACAGATGAGGCAGGACCAGAGGACACGCACACACACACACACACACACACACACACACACACACACACACAAGCGGGTCGTCAGGTAAAAACTGTTAACAAGTATAAAGAAGGAGCGTCAAGGTGATTTAGTTAACTGTTGTTGTTGGCGCACAGCAGCCAATCACCACCATCCCTTCACTCCTTGATCGTCTCATCACTCACACGCATGTTGATACACTCACACACGCGTGTGGATGCACTCACATACGCGTGTGAGTGTATAAACTGGATTGGATACACGTGGTGCTTGGTAACACTGCCCAAAGCGTGTTAATTAGCACTCACTAAAGCGTAAATAAACTAAAAGATACTTAGGGCAATTACCAAGGTTAACAAGGACAGCCTCTGTAACTTGAGAGAAAGTAAGACAAGTTGAAGCTGGAAACACAAATGAACCGAAGGAATGCACTGAAAGAAAAAGTTATGGAAGCCTCCTCCATCCACAACTTTTGACACCAATTCGATATAAAGGATTTTAGAGTCAGAATAGTTAAATAATATCACAAGTACGACTAGACTAGTGGGGCGGGAATATAAAGAAACTAGGTTTCACTCCTCTGTAGACAGAGAGGTAACCGATATAGGCAAGTATAAAATGCATTGAACTCTGTAGACAGAGAGGTAACCGATATAGGCAAGTATAAAATGCATTGAACAACCAATTAATACATAGCAATTAAAAAACCTATGTTGCTCTATACAATAAACCCAGCTAATAATAATAATAAATCAACGTACCAATTTTTGCGTCTCAAATGCAAGGTTTAGTGAAAATTATACAATCGTATATTGACAGATTTAGAAATTAAATAGCAGTAGCCTCGTTAAGTCAGTCTCTATAGGTTAGAACATACGATTTAATGCGTGCTATTAAGGGAATATTCTTAAGATTTTCATTTCATTAATTTATTATGCATAGCTACAAAGGCACACATATATATAATGGACTCAGGAACCGAAGCCTAAAATTCATTTGGCCAAGCAAGTTGTGGTTTTGATAAGCTAGGTACTTAGTTGAATGCATATTAATTAAGTCTTATATAGCATTATGGAGTCAAGAACCGGACATAGTCAAGCTGTATGCTATGCATTTTGTATTTGTTAACTCAGCTATTTCTCAATTATGCTATGTATGTGTTGTGTTCTTGAACGGCGACGAGTGACAAAGCGGGGAGGATCAGCACTCGATCTATCGAGAAGATAGATCTATCGTCGGCTAAGCCGATCTATCGATCTAAGCCGATCTATCGTCGGCTAAGATCGAAGTGCACAGTTGACACAAAAACTTGCCAGAGATACACGGTTCCACATAGCTAGTTCTCCGACTCTCAAAACCATAAATATTGTTAAGTTAAGCTGAATTAGTTTAGGCTAGGCTGAATTAGTTTAGGTTAGGCTGTGCTCGGTTAGGTCAGGAACGCATGAGTTAAGTTAGGAAAGGTTAGGCAAGTCCGAAAATCAGTTGGCGAACTCGCCTTGTGTGGGATGTGACTTGTATCCTAGGCTTGGTGTTTTGAAGTGTCAGTTTTCTGCTTGTGTGTCTGTATGTTTCCACTTAATTGTCGTTATAGGGACGGGGTTGAGCTTCAGCTCTTTGGGCCTCGTTTTCAACCTTCAGTGGACTAAGTGTACAGGTAAATAAGCAATTATCAAAAGGCACCAAGCCGAGAAGGCTATTAAGTGTACAGGTTCTCAAGCCTTTTTGCATGTCCTATCTGGAGATGGAGTCTGCCTCTACAATTTCACTTCGTTACTTACATTTGGTCACTTATTTTGACATTTTAAAAAGTAAATTAAAATGTCTCTATGGATCATTTCGGTATTTATTGTCCAATATGTCCCTTTGCTTATGTACCATCCATTTCAAATAGTCTATGTTTGTCTAACACGTCTATATTTCCCCTGAGAATACTGTATGCGGTAATCATGTCTCCTCTGAGTCCAGGGAAATAAGTTATACTTTCAAATATTGTTCGTAATATCTCTCAGGTCTGGGAATAGTGTGGCGACATGCCTCTAGACACTATTCAATGTATATGTGTATGTATATGTATATGTATCTCTATATGTATACCACCTTCGTTTCGTGCTGACGAGACGAGAGGACTCCACGCTGGGGCCGCGTATGCCAGAGCTGCCATCACATGTAGTAGACAAGATCCTTAATGACTCTTTACTCAGATTTCTGAAGGCAATATATGTGTATACATGGGTAAATGTGTGTATGTACTCACCTATTTGTTCCTATAGGCTCAGCTCTTCCTTCTTCAAGTCTTTGCAGACGCCGGTTGTCTAATATGTACGTATATGTGGATATGTATGTATATGTCTGTATATGCATATGTGTGTATGTTTGTGTGTATATGCATATGTGTGTATGTTTGTGTGTATATGTATGTGTGTGCAAATGTTTAGCAAACACCGACCATTAAGCACTTGAACATCACATAACTCACTCCTAAACATCTTTATATTAAAATATTCCTGTTTGTAGTTTCTGATCAATCAAACGATTATCCTAATAAAGAAAAACGTATAATTCAAAGTACCGGTGTATATTTCCCCATGCAAAGTTGAAACCCAAGCGAAAGGGAAAGTAGTGTTTTATGTGTGGATGAAGAGAGTGGAAAGTGAAATTACTTTCGATCTTCTGGATGTAAACACACATCTTCCAGGAGGCATTTAACGGTAAAATAAGAGGCGTTAACTACCTTTCCGTAGACGAGTCATGCCGGAGTTGAGAGAGAGCGTGTACGTCCCTCCCCACCACCTGCCAAGTGTCAACTGAAGCTACTGACGGCAGCGTTCCTTCCGTCTACACCTTCGCCAGTCAGGGAACTCTGAGGCCGCCTTGGGCTCCCGCAAGGCGGGTGACCGCTCCTCTCTTGGTATTTGCCTCTAAATCTCTGTTTTGTCTCATTTTTTTAGCAGTTTCGATTTCTAAAGGTATTTATTTCGTGTTATGAATGTATTTAGAGAATTTTAATTGGGTATTGTTGGTCTTGGAGGGGGAAACTATGACGTTTCCGATGTGGTCAGGCGGGTGTTGTTAAGGGGGTGCGGGGGGTTAGGCAGGTCTCAAGGTCAAACCGAACACCCTGCCCGGCCAACAAGTTCCCGCACGCGCGCGCACTCCCTCTCGCACACACGAAGGCTTGCACACACACGAACACACACACACACACACGGTTGAGAGGCGGGACCAAAGAGCCAGAGCTCAACCCCCGCAAACACAACTAGGTGAGTACACACACACACACACACACACACACACACACACACACACACACACACACACACACACACACACACACACACACACACACACACACACACACACACAAAAGCACGCACTCCTTCCCATCTTATTCCCTGACGTTGCATCTTAAGACCCAGGCGGCAAAGGGGTGACATTTAACAACTCGTCCTTCAAAAGATTTCCCCCTTTTCTTTTTCCCTTTTTTTGTCTTATAGAGTAGGGGGCGGGGGGGGGTATTATATAGGTTACGTGACGAAATCTTGCAGATGTTAGTGTAAAGGGATTATGCATTGTCAGGTTGTCTAGGTATGTTGTTGTTATAGATTCAGCTACTCGGAACACGTTCCAAGTAGCACGGGCTATGGTGAGCCCGTAACTTACCTGGCACAGAAGCGGGGCCAGAAGCACGGGCTATGGTGAGATGGTGGTGGACTTACCTGGCACAGGAGCGGTGCTGAATGCTGTCTAGGTAGGCTGTCCCGCGGAAATGCTCGTACCCTCTACCGGTACTTATCTATTAGTGATTGTGGGGCAGACAAGCCTAGCTCTCTTTTTGCCTTGTACCTATTGTCTTATCACCTATATTGGTACTCGAATTCTTTGTCGAATCTGGTCTAAAAGTTGTGGATGGAGGTGGCTTCTACAGCTTATTTCAGTGGCTTCCACATTTTTATTTATATATATATATACAAGTCTTTAGTGGTTTTTCCTGTCCGAAACGCTTTGCGTAATACCTGGTTGATACCTGGTTGATGGGGTTCTGGGAGTTCTTCTACTCCTTCTACTAATAGTGGCTTTAGGCATTGTATGTACTAGCTCTATCTATAAATTCATCAATATTTGTATCACCCCTTGTATGTATGTACTTTACCTAAATAAACATTTGAATTTTGAATTTTGAATTTGAATTTGAACAAGAGTTCTTACATTCTTGTACAGCCACTAGTACGTATAGCGTTTCGGGCAGGTTCTTAATGCTAATTTTCCCTGGAATACGACCCGCCAAATCGTTTAACAACCAGGTACCCATTCACTGCTGGGTGAACAGAGGCTACAGTTAAGGATTGGCGCCCAGTCAATCCTCCCCAGCCAGGATACGAACCCAGGACAAAGCGCTCGCTAAATGCCGGGCGAGTGTCTAACCAGTTCGCCACGGGTACTGTATTTAATTAAATGTATTTATGTTAAAGACATATTGAACTTGTTTGGTTTCCAATTATCGGGACAGGAAGCCTGGTAGGTATATCGAGGTCCCCCCTAAGGCCAATGGCTGACCTTTACCGGGATGCTACCCACAACAGTTGCCTAACTCCCAGGTACCTGTTTCCCGCTGGCTGGATGAACATAACAAGTGAAAGGAAACGTTGCCCAAGCACCTCCGCCCTATCTAGGCATCAAACGCAAAACTCATTCAAATGCTCGGGTAACGTCAAATCAACGTTGTCAACTTAGGATCATCGTTCAAGCAATGTTAGATTAACGTCGAATGTACGTTGATTCAACGTCGAATGTATGTTGATTCAACGTCGAATGTATGTTGATTCAACGTCGAATGTACGTTGATTCAACGTCGAATGTATGTTGATTCAACGTCGAATGTATGTTGATTCAACGTCGAATGTATGTTGATTCAACGTCGAATGTATGTTGATTCAACGTTGAATTTACGATTCGACGTCGTCGAAGCCGTCAACGTTGACTCAACGTCGAATTAACGTTGATTCCACGTCGAATTTACGTTGATACTACGTCGAATTTACGTTGATTCAATGTCGATTTTACGTTAATTTAACGTTCCACCTGGATATCGAGTCGATTGAGTCACTACTTGCCTGACTTTAATTACAAGTATTAACAGGTATTTTCCAATCAAGATTTACGTGATCTTCAAGCCACAGAAATGACAAAGAATTTTTTATATTATTACTCTGATCATTGGTCGTCACGGTGGCCAGGGCGGTATTAATGAAGGTAAACAAAAAATTAATTATATCCTGGAAGAGGCTATCACCTGGTTCCTAGCTAGCCTAGTCCCTAGCTAGTGTCTGGTGCGTAGCTAGCCCCTAGCTAGTGCTTGGAGCCTAGCTAGTGCTTGGAGCCTAGCTAGTGCTTGGAGCCTAGCTAGTGCTTGGAGCCTAGCTAGTGCTTGGAGCCTAGCTAGTGCTTGGAGCCTAGCTAGTGTTTGGAGCCTAGCTAGTGCTTGGAGCCTAGCTAGTTCTTGGAGCCTAGCTAGTGCTTGGAGCCTAGCTAGTGTTTGGAGCCTAGCTAGTTCTTGGAGCCTAGCTAGTGCTTGGAGCCTAGCTAGTGCTTGGAGCCTAGCTAGTGCTTGGAGCCTAGCTAGTGTTTGGAGCCTAGCTAGTGCTTGGAGCCTAGCTAGTTCTTGGAGCCTAGCTAGTGCTTGGAGCCTAGCTAGTGCTTGGAGCCTAGCTAGTTCTTGGAGCCTAGCTAGTGCTTGGAGCCTAGCTAGTGCTTGGAGCCTAGCTAGTGCTTGGAGCCTAGCTAGTGCTTGGAGCCTAGCTAGTGCTTGGAGCCTAGCTAGTGCTTGGAGCCTAGCTAGTGCTTGGAGCCTAGCTAGTGCTTGGAGCCTAGCTAGTGCTTGGAGCCTAGCTAGTGCTTGGAGCCTAGCTAGTGCTTGGAGCCTAGCTAGTGTTTGGAGCCTAGCTAGTGCTTGGAGCCTAGCTAGTTCTTGGAGCCTAGCTAGTGCTTGGAGCCTAGCTAGTGCTTGGAGCCTAGCTAGTTCTTGGAGCCTAGCTAGTGCTTGGAGCCTAGCTAGTGCTTGGAGCCTAGCTAGTGCTTGGAGCCTAGCTAGTGCTTGGAGTCTAGCTAGTGCCTGGTCTCCTTTCTCATTTTCTTACACTTGTTGGGATTGAATTCTAATACCCGTGTTAGGTAATGTGAATTCCTTGATGACTTTACTAACACCGACGCCCACACTTGACAACACCCACGCCCACACAAACACCCACGCCCCACATGACAACACCCGCACGCCCAGGCCTGCGTCACCGCCCCTAAACTCTTACCATGGTAAAAACCCACCATGCCACGCCCACTCGGTGACCTTGTGCTCATAACTGTACACCAATTCTCTGCCTCCTCTGCCTCACGACGCTCTCTAATCTCCTTATATATCTTTAAACCCATTTACCCGAATTTACCTGATAGCCATCATCTTCAATAGCCTCGACGGAGACAGGAAGCCGGCGGCTTTTCGAAGCGGCACTCAAACCGTTATCGTTCATAAGGATTTTTTTCCTGGAATGTTTAATGTTGTTTTGGCATTTAGGGCTTCGGCGGGTAGGCGGTTCCACGGGTTTATATCCCTATGGGTGAAAAAGCGTCTCTTGTTTTCAGTTCTACATTATGGGTTGTTGAGCATGGAGTTGTTGCCCCTTGTGTGAGTTATATTATGAGTTGTTGAACATGGAGTTGTTGCCCCTTGTGCCCCTTGTGTGAGTTATATTATGGGTTGTTGAGCATGGAGTTGTTGCCCCTTGTGTGAGTTATATTATGGGTTGTTGAACATGGAGTTGTTGCCCCTTGTGTGAGTTACATTATGGGTTGTTGAACATGGAGTTGTTGCCCCTTGTGTGAGTTACATTATGGGTTGTTGAACATGGAGTTGTTGCCCCTTGTGTGAGTTACATTATGGGTTGTTGAGCATGGCGTTGTTGCCCCTTGTGTGAGTTACATTATGGGTTGTTGAACATGGAGTTGTTGCCCCTTGTGTGAGTTACATTATGGGTTGTTGAACATGGAGTTGTTGCCCCTTGTGTGAGTTACATTATGGGTTGTTGAGCATGGAGTTGTTGCCCCTTGTGTGAGTTACATTATGGGTTGTTGAACATGGAGTTGTTGCCCCTTGTGTGAGTTACATTATGGGTTGTTGAGCATGGCGTTGTTGCCCCTTGTGTGAGTTACATTATGGGTTGTTGAACATGGAGTTGTTGCCCCTTGTGTGAGTTACATTATGGGTTGTTGAACATGGAGTTGTTGCCCCTTGTGTGAGTTACATTATGGGTTGTTGAGCATGGAGTTGTTGCCCCTTGTGTGAGTTACATTATGGGTTGGTGAGCGTGAAGTTGTTATCCTTGCAACATTTTGACACATACTGCATCTTTGGAACTTTTACATCTTGATACAGCTTCGTACCGCCTCTTGCATGTTGCACATATAAAATAATGGAACGCTTGCGAAGACCGGAGCACAATCTGAAGCTCTGAAATCGATTCGTCAAAATAAATTGAAAAGATCTTTGACCTCTGTCGCCCTGGCCAACCCAGCCATCTCTCTCCCTCACATATAAATTATTCACCACTGTTATTGTATTTCTCCAACCACTTGGACTGATCGGTATAGTGAACGTTACCCTTCTTGCAGGTCGGCGTTCGATCCCCAGACGATATCCAAGCAGCTGGGCACTGTTCATTCCCTCCATCCATCCGATCCCCGTTCTTTGTCCTCACTCAGATCTCTTTCAAAATGCAATATAGTCGTAGTGGCTTAGCGCTTTCTCTTGATTACCTTCCCCAGCTCTTAGTCTGTCCCATATCCCTTCCAAGTATTATATAATTATAATCATACTGACTTAGTGCTGATAATTATTTGATCTTTCCTTCTCCTGTTTCCTAAGAAAGTTTCAGTAGCTTTTGTAAGACAATTTAAATGATAATCTCTGATTATAAGTAATGATTATAAGTTGCTACTGAAGATTTCCTCTGGGACAATGTTTCCTGTCCCTATCGAGGCCACTAAAGAGATGGCGGCCCTCAGGTAAATTCAGGCACTGTATATAGATTCCTGAGCAATAAGATTATCGGCCACTCAGATAATCTGGATTTGCCAATCCGTAAAAAAAAATACACCTGTTTTTGCCTAACCCGAAATGTACAAACCCAAGCAACCCTCCTAACCTATTGTGGCAGAGGCACAACGCTAATATTACGGCGTTTTATTATTTACTAATGCGTACGAGTTAGGACGGATCAGTGTCGACAGATGATTGACCTCCAAGGGGCCTGACAGCTGAGTGGACAGCGCTTCGGATTCGTCGTCCTGAGGTTCCGGGTTCAATCCCCGGTGGAGGCGGAGACAAATGGGCAAAATGTTTCTTTCGCCCTGACGCCCCTGTTCACCTAGCAGTAAATAGGTACCTGGGAGTTAGACAGCTGCTACGGGCTGCTTCCTGGGGTGTGTAAACAAACAGGAGGCCTGATCGAGGACCGGGCCGCGGGGACGCTAAGCCCCGAAATCATCTCAAGATAACTAAACATTTGTTATCTAACACAAGCTGTCTGCAATATTCAGGCCAGGAGTCATCAACCATTTACTCAACCACTTACGAAGCCTGTACATCTTTTCTTATATTAATAATGGCGACATTGTTTACATTTATTATGGCGACATTATTTACATTTATCAAACATTTTATGAGCTGGGAAATGTCACAACCTGAGGTTATTATTACTATTAACAACCTTTCACAGCCCTGTAGTTCATAAATTGTTTATTATATATAAAGAACTCCCCCCGTAAGTAAGGAAAGATGCACAGGTTCCGTAAGTGCTTTAATATTTGATGAATCCTCGTTGAAAGGAATATTTAAATAATTTTTCGGTGTGTGGGATGATGAAGCGATGAGGTCTCCTTCGATGAATAATGATGATCCCTGCGGGCGGGTCACGGATGACACAATCTTGGATCTCAGGTTCGAGCCCCTAGTGGGGACAGATCACTCGTTGGACACCTTTCCTTTCACCTAATATTGCTGTTCACCTAGCAGTAAATAGGCGCATATTGGAGTTAAGATGTATATATATATATATATATATATATATATATATATATATATATATATATATATATATATATATATATATATATATATATATATACACAATAAAATAACTAATTAAAGTATATTTACTTAGGAGTTTTGGGTATTAACGGCTTTGACGGGTAGGCGGTTCCACGGGTTAACCGTTAGATTAAGGACCTGCCCGAAACACTATACGTGTTATAGTGGCTTTACAAGACTATAAGAACACCAATGTTCTGTACTACCACAAACCCAATGTACCTTCTTGTATATATATATATGCAGAAATAAATTAAATAAAGTATATTTACTTAGGAATATGTGAGTGTTGAGAGCGGCACCAACGCAGTCAACCTTCCCTGTCCTCTACAGGTCGTGGACGGGCGTCCGTACCGTCCCGCACCCAGTGGGTGTTGGCCAGATCCTGTCTGCAGGCTGTGGGCGCCTCACACTCATTAAGAAGGTGCGTTACCATATAGATTTTTGCCTTCATGGTCTATTTAAGAATCTATTGTAACAAAACGATTCTTCGCGGCAGGGGATCGTATTCCAGGGACCTGCCCGAAACGCTACGCGTACTAGTGGCTGTACATGAATGTAACAACTCTTGTATATATCTCAAAAAAAAAAAAAAAAAATATGGCAAATGGGGCGACCTTCGACAAGCCGCTGACTTCCTGTCCTCGACTAGGCCACTAGTGTTAATGGCTCTCTGGTAATATGACAATTAAAAGGGGTATGGTCACAAGAGTTTTAAATTTTCAGACTATCTGTATATAAATACATATATATATATAGTTAGGCTAGGATAATTATTTTATTTCGTCGGGGACAGGAAGCTTATATATGTGTAGACTTATGGTTTGATCAGTAGACTTTAGACCTGATCAACCAGGCTGTGACTCGTATGTCAGGCTGCGTTGAGCCGCATTAAACAGCCTGGTTGATCAGACCAGCAACCAGGAGGCCTCTGGTTAGAGACCGGGCCACGAGGACATAGATCCTCGAAACCATCAATAGGTTGTATCGAGGTCCCTTAAGGTGGAACTACTGACCCTTCCCAGATTGCAACCTCACAACAGTTGCCTAACTCTCGGGTACCTGTTTACTGTTAGGTGAACAGGGGTATGTGGTGAAAGGAAACTTGCCCAACCATTTCTGTCCCACCAGGGAGTTGAACCCGGGAACCCTGATTGTGAGTCAAGAATGAATTCAACTGTACTAGGACACTAAAATGTACGTTGTATTATCTTAAGCTGTGTTAGGCTTGGTTGGGTAAGGTTAGGTAATTACTGTATTAAAATACCTTTTTGAACAGTCTTGTGTACAGTGTGACTTGTATCAGGTTCGGTTACATTGGATTACCTGAATTTACCTGAGGGTCACCATCTCACTAGTGGCCTAGACGAGGACAGGAAACCGGCAGCTTGTCAAAGGTCCCTTTGACAAGCAGTTGATTTGTAATGTGTTAAATCCTGTGCAAGGCAATTTTGTCAGATGTTACTTACATATTCTATTATCTAAAACTAAAGCAGGCAACTGCTTTAAAATACAACATGATTTATTAAAGGCTCAGGACTAAGTTGCTGGTCTTCGGACACTTGAAAAAAGTTCTTGACATTTTTTGTGGATTAAAATACAGTTTTAATATTAAGTATAAATAAAAAAAAGTGATGTTCTATAAAATTACATTGTAATTGATGCTGTACAGTCATAAGTCATGGATATACAATACTTAGGAAAATCTGGTGGTGTCTGAAGACCAGAGCGTTGGTCTGGACAAAAGAGAATTTTACCAATTTCCCACATAGATACATCTGTATCCAGTTACATTGGTATGAGCATATAAACACATCTATATCCTATTACCAACTACACCCTGTATATCCATACTCTTTTAGGGCAAAAAAGTTATGTTCATGGTCACCAAAATAAATTTGGCAGCAAATTTTGTTTTTTTAAGTGATATTCTTCACAGGCCTTCAGCCTCTGGTCAGCCCACTAGTGTTACTCATTTCAGTCTTACTCGTATATTGGCTTCGGTAAAGTTTTGTCCAATGTTTTATTTTATTTGTAACTGTATTGTTAGGTAATGTTTCTGTATGCCTTTTTCCATTTCTAGGTGATCCCCACGATCACAATTTTCATTTAACTTTATGTGTTTAGTGTGTTTTATTTTTTATTTTTTAATTTTTATTTATTTATATATACTCTACAAGAGTTCTTACATTCTTGTATAGCTACTAGCACGCTTAGCGTTTCGGGTATGTCCTTAATTCTATGTTTCCGGAAAATACGACACTGCCAAATTGTTTTAACAACCAGGTATCCATTTTACTGTTGGGTCAGAGGCTACAGTTAAGGATTGACGCCCAGTAAATCCTGGGCATCGGATTAGGTAAATTCTGGTAAATCCAACACTCCAGTAACTACTGGAGTGTTGTATTGTTCACTGATGTATTAATTACCGATTGTTATACTGGTGTTGTATGTGTTTGCCCGAAACGCTGTGTGTATTAGTGGCTTTAGGCATTGAATGTACTAGCTCTGTCGAGTAATAACTCATCTTGTATGTATGTACTTTTACCTTAAGTTAATAAACATTTGATTTGATGAGGATACATGAATACTGGATCAACCTTCATACGTAATAGCCAAAATAACAAAGATCGTAATTACCATATTATGTAGCCTCACAATCCCAATGTACCTTCTTGTATATAAATAAATAAATAAATAAATAAATAAAAAATCAATCAATCAATCAATCAATCTGGGTACTCACAGTATGTACAGACAGAATTTATTGTCACAAATTACGTAACATGTTTAATTTATCTACTGACCTTGACTGAAAAAGGAAGCTGGCGACTTGTCAAATGTGTCGCCATTATTCATGAAAATTTTATCTAGATGATTTTTGGATTTGAGTTCTGTATTATCTTGGCTTTTACAACTTCAGTGGATAGGTAATTCCATGGGTTTATTACCCTGTGAGTGAAAGGGCATCTCCTCTTGTCTGTCCAACATTATGGCTTGTTCAGCCTTTTGTAACTAGCTCATGAAAACTGTAATTTGCTTAGCTAAATGAATTATGGGATTCAGTCCCCGAGCCCATTATGTGCCTCTGTAACCCTTTCCACTACTGCCCACAAGATGGTGTATGAGGTGCATAATAAATTAACTAAACTAAACTCAGCTTGAAACTGTCACCCCTTATGAGAGTTATATTAGATCTTTTAAAGAAGTGGTCTAGATTAATACAGTATCTTTGTCTGTTCAGTATTTTAAAGGTCTTATTTATTTATTTATTTATACACAAGAAAGTACATTGGGGGTTAAGAAAGAACATAGAGTTTAAGTTGAAATAGAGTTTAAGTTGAAATTACAATCTTGTAAAGCCACTAGCACGCATAGCGTTTTGGGCAAGTCCTTAAACTAACCTTAGAGCAAATCCTTAAACTAACAGAAAGGTTTAGAGAAATAAGAGTAAAATTGATAAAAAGTGTTTAACAGGTACTTTACAGCTTTACTTTGCAAGTACAGATGATTTTAAGTAGGATAATTACAATAAAATTGTCAAAACAAAATTTACGGGTACATTGCAAGAATTTTTGACACAAAAGCAGATCAGAACAATACACAATAATGAACAATAATGACTGGCAAATGTCATTATGATGACAACATCATTGATGTCAGCTCTTTCATGTCTGATTTATAGTGTTGTTATAATACAGTAGTCTTGAGGCCCTCAACCATTCCTGGTATGAGAGTTGACGTAGTTCTGGAGTGATTGTTGTTGCTGTGTTGACCTTTTTCCAAAGCCATTATGTCTTTAAAGGTGAGGTTTCCACGCTTGGATACAAAAGTCCAGATAGAGACACACCAGAGATTTGTACAACTGATTTAGTACTTGCTTTTCCTAGGATTTCAGAAGCTCATTTCAATATTCTTACTAGCTGAGCAACTTAAATGACTGCTGGACCCTAACTCCATGTTCTTTTCTTATCAATTTGCTGTAGAATAACTATCAAAAATGGTATGCTGTGTATGGTAGTTATGATAGTTATTTTTATTCCCTACATTTAATTAATGGCTTGCATTTTCAGTAATAAAAAGCATTTGCCAGTTGTTTGACTATTTGAAAAGTTTATGTAGATAGCTCTCTTAAGCTTCAATATAATTTTCACTTCTGATTTTACTGTAGAATTTTATGTTATCTGCAAATTTTATAACCTTTTTTAAGTAAATTTTTTTGTATTTTTTTTATGATTTTTGTAGTTGATGTTATTGATGTACATTACCTGAATTTACCTGAGGGCCACTAACATTAGTGGCCTCGACGAGGACAGAAAGCCAGTGGCTTGTCAAAGGTCTCCTCCTCCCCCCCATTTGCCCTGATGATTACATAAAGGGTTTGCTAAAAGATGTAACCTTCCAGTATTCTACTCAAAACATTTTTCTTGTCAGATTCATTTCCATTTAGTACCCCATAGAGGGACCAAGACTGAGGAGTTGTATGATTGTTGGCCAAAATTGTTGGCCTGAGCTCTGCTAATCCCATCTTAGTACAACAATGTTACAGGACACATTTTTAAATAAATAAATAAAATAAATTTTTATTCAGGTAAGGTACATACATACAAGGTAAGATACAAAGTTGATGGATTTATAGATAGAGCTAGTACATACAATGCCTAAAGCCACTATTACACAAAGCGTTTCGGGCAGGAAAAATATTAAAGACTACTAAAGACTTAATATTAAAATAAAATAGCCCTATATTAATGCCAAAACTGTTAAATTTTAAAATCTAACTGGAAAAGATCATCGGGACAAATGACGAGACCTTTGACAAGCCACCAGCTTCTTGTCCTCGTCCAGGCCACTAGTGTGTTAGTGGACCTCGTGTAAATTTAGGTAAAAGAAAAAGCAGAACAAATATTGACAAAAGAAAGAAAAGAGGAACAAATACTGTATAAACAAAAGAAATATAGAAACAAAGACAAACAGGAACAGAAGAGAACAGATGGATTTTTTCCCCAAGTAAATTTGTTTGGGTTGCACAGTAATTTATTGTTAATTTTGCAGGAACATAACCCATATGCAAGTGAAGGGCTGACTGTAAGATTCAACTGAATTCAGTAAGTTATAATATTACAATTCATTACTAGCCTATTGTTATTGAACATTAATTCTCTTTCTCCAAGAAATCCTTAGCCTTAGACTTCCTTGAAACACTAAGTGTAATTAGGGACTTTATGAAGACTACAAATTTTAAATACACATACCATCCATATTATATTAATTATCACTTGTAATTTACTTTAAATGAAGGATTCAGAGGACTTGTTTAAATTACATTTATCTTCAATTTTCAGCCTGAATTTGTTCAAGAGGATTTTTAACCCAAGCTACAGTATATCCAGAAATTCTTCTGATTACTTTGAGTTACTGTGCATAGAAACTGTTAAACCATGGCTTCCGAGGATCAGGAACAGGACAAGGGTAAATGGATAATATACGATTATACAAGCCCATCTTTGCCCTTCAGTGATTGGCTGGAAGAGTGGACTCCCTCTAAAGTAAACAGGTAATACAGACCTATGCCAAAAACCTTGACTACTCTAATATTATCGATGTCTTTCATGCCTTGTTTTCCATGTGAGGTTTCCCTTTTGTATCTTTTTATATGTGTTCCTTCTGGGAGTTTCCCCTCTCATAGTCCCAGTAGTACAATAGTACTGAGTCTAATAGCAATCTTATTGATTACGGATTTCGGGTCGTCAGTAAAAATAACAAAAGTAATGAGAACATGCACTGAATGCTCGAAGAAAGAGTTGCTTTAAAAGAGTAGGAAGGGTGAAAGAATTAATGATGCTCATCGGGGTATGGCAAAAGTGGATGACTGGGACTTTCTATGGTGGAAGCAGCAGAATAGTGTGTGGGAATATTTTGCAAATGTTAAGTGAAGTCAGAAATGTTAACCTTCGATAAAAACATATATAAACATAAGCGAGGCTGGTGATGTAGTCTTGTAGAACTTTGAAGAAAAGACAATACGTTTCACATCAGTCGTGGAGGTATAAAACTCAGACACCAGCATCATGGCTTTAAATAGAGGAAGAACTAAAAACTCCTATACTGTACTTATATCCAAGTCTTATAAAATGACTTGCAAAAAGTAGGGAAATTTAAAAAAATCAAGTATCAAACTCTCAGTTTCGTGCACATCGGAAGGAACAGGGTGAGGAAATCATTGTAGTCACCTAGTTGTGCTTGCGGGGGTAGAGCTCTGCTCTTTCAGCCCGCCTCTCAACTGTCAGTCAACTGTTACTATTAACTTTTTTTTTTCGCTCACACACACACACACACTGAAGCAGCCCACAACAGTGTAACTCCCAGGTACCTATTTATTGCTAGGTAACAGGGGCATCAGGGTGAAAGAAACTCTGCCCATTTTGTTTCTCACTGGCGCCGGGAATCGAACCCCGGTCCACAGGCAAATAAACCCCATAGCACACATTGTGACTATGTACATGTGGCGATGCAATTCTGCAGACTCGCCACACAGGGGAGAGGAGTGTGATATTCAAGTTAGATGGTTTATTTATTCACTGTTTCACTTTAGTTTACATAGTGTGTGGAATAACTCACTCTGCATAAAATTGACAAAAACTGATTGAGTACTGTACCTAATCTTACCCAAAGAAACTGAATCTAACCCAACCGAGCCTAACACAGCATAATCTAAGCTAATACATTCTAACCAAGATACAGTTTTGCCAATCAAAATATAAGCTGTAGAAAAGTAAAGTGTACAATTTGACAATAGCCCACCACCTTCTTTGATGGGGCCCTGCGGATGTTTTTGTACAATACTCCACCATGTGGCTTCCACATAATTCAAAGGGACACTGATGAGTTAGTACAATTTTATGAAGGAAGGGAGAGAATGTTTGTATGGACAAAAGTTCAGAAAGTGAATGTTCGTATAGCGGGGATGGCTTGTTTAGAACAAAGGTCAGCAAATAATGTATAATGTATCACAAGAAAATATCCTTTGTTCATTTTGCTTGAATCCATTGCAAAAATAGTCTAAATACACATGTATCATTGTACATTTATTATAAATGCATTGAGTAATCAAACTTGATAAAATCAAATTTTAGAAATGATTTAAAATAAATCATTGGTTTACTGTTTGTAACAAACTGTAAAATCTTAAATCTTCACAAAAACATTTTTAATAAATGGCAGATAAACCACCACTGTATAAATAACCTAAAAATACTAATTATTCTATATATGAAAAAATTTACATTTCAAATATAAAAGTCAACTTTTCCAGTCATGAGCATCCACCTCAAGTCTTGTCATGCATGCTGGTGTGTTTTGATTCATCAGTTGCTTGGCAGGTGTGACTCAAATACCAGGGTAAACTATCCACGATTCCTATAGAGTATACACCTAGAGTAGTTCTCTTCTCATTGTATACTGTATACACAAAGTTAACTTGAATCGTAAACTGTGTTTAGGGATTAACGTATAGTCTAAGGTTAGAAACCAAGGCAAATTGATGCCTTGACCCTGACAGTTGATAGGCATTGCCTTATGTTCCTCAAATATCTAGACACGTTAAAAGTCTTGTTCATCATATTGATTAAGTACAAACTTATTATTGTGAAGCTATCAAAATGCCTAAATACAATATTTGCTTCTTTTTTTTATCATACCAAAGGCATAATATCAATTAGTCACTGTGTACAGGATTGTGGTAGTTACAAATAGGCCTTTAAGCATTAAAAGCAAATATCAATTAATTTATCATGTATGTATCTAACTGTGTACACTAAATCATTTTCAGAGATGATGGTGTTTCTTGGATTTGTGTCCAAGGGAGCAATGTTGACCTGTCGCAGGTACCAGATGTTAAACTTTTAGAAGCATGGCGAAACATTGAGACGTCTGGGGAACCAATTAATTTACAGGTCATATATGACCTAGCCAGAACATTCCAGGATACCTCTGGCAAATGGCTCCTTCATGTGGACACAGGGATAAAAGTAGATCGTATTTGGAAGAATATTGCCTGTGGTATTGTGGAGGGTAAACTTCCAGCAAATTCTGCAAAAGTCAGTTCTTATGCCGGTGTGCAACATGCTGTATGTATTTACAATAATAACTTTACAGATGAACAGGAAGTGTGTCATCTAGAAAGAGGAATACGAAATATTGGCATAAAATCCCAGCTCTCCTATAAACCTGAAATTTTCACGCACATTGGATTATATCGACATAACAATTGGAACATCCGTCCAACCATATATAAGAGTGATTATGAGCTCACTACCAAACAGTCAATAATCAAAACAAATGAAGAGAGTCCCCGAACTCTAACGTATTGAATTTGATTTAATTTAAATAATTTTCAATACAATAATGTGGAAAACCATTCTTAGACAATGATGGTTGAGCACAAACCGAAACACCCCTGGAAACACAAACCGAAACTGTCTCTATTTTCCGCTTGTTTCAACTTGTAATAAAGTTGTTACATCTTGGCTTAACGTGTTTATGACGTATTAGAACGTTGTTACAACTTGCTATATTGGTTGTTATAACTGGTTAGGTGTTAAAACTTGTTCGAACGTTGTACCAACGTCGTAGTTTCGGTGTGTGTTTGGCGGGGATGCTCTTGCTTGAGAAAATCAGTAGGAGCTATGAGGAGGATTCAAACCTGCTCACTTGGTACTCCCAAGCTAGTGCACTAGACCACGACACAGTAAAGGCAATGCAATCTGGGATTCAGCTGAATCCACTAGGAATCCTAATGGATTCTTAGTTGGGAGCCCAAATCAGGGGTTTCACACAATGCTCCTGAGCACTCTGGCTTGGTGATTAAGTAATTGACCTCCAAAACTTAACACATTTCATTGTGTCAAGTAATTGACCTCCAACACTTGACACATTTCATTGTGTCAAATACACAATAAAATCATGTTAATGTTATGTATCAATGAGAAAATCAGTTGGAGCCATTTAGTAGTCTAGGACGCTAGCTTGGGAGTACCAAGTGATTGGGTTCGAATCCTAAAGGCTCCTACTAATTTTCTCATTGATACATCAAGTTAATGTGATTTTATAGTATATTTGACAAGAAGCGTTGGAGGAGAACTACTGGACCATTAGACAGAGTGCATGGACAGGGGGGGGGGAATGCTTAAAACCCTGATTGGGCTTCAGTTGTAAACTTCAGGAATCCTAGAGGGTTCAGTGGAAGCCCATGTTGCATTGCTTTTACCATGTCGTGGTGTGGTGGTCTAGGGTGCTAGCTTGGTAGTACCAAGTGAGCGGGTTCGAATCCTTCTCATGGCGCCTACTGATTTTCTCTTCGATATATCATGTTACTGTGATTTAATTATATATTATATATAGTCTTTATTGGTTAGGATCATCTTTGATACTATCATTGCAAAATAATCAGTTACTCATATATTTCATAATTTTTAAGTAACAGTATTGTAGACACAGGCTGGACAGCGGTGCTGTTAGCTTATGCTGCTTATGCCAGCCTTGGTTGCTTACTTGGTACTGAGGCCGTCACACCCAGGAACAGTGTCCACCATTTTTTTCAAAATGGTGTCTGTTTTCTGGAGGCCTGAGAAAGCCGATGCGAGTCCTGTGTACCTACTGGAGTATTATTCTTACGCGGTATGTTAAATCATCCCTAGATAACTGGCGCAGCGGATAGGTTAAGATATCAGTAATAAGTCTTAAGTGGAAAAAAGTAACCGTAACTAATCAGTTGTACACCTTTTATATAATAATCAGCTTTAATGTTTTTTGTATTGTGGTTTTGTTATACTAATACTAACTAATGTTGATTTTAAGTAAGATTATATCAATTTTATTAGTCCATAAGCTTTTTTCCAGTGGGAGCTGTTGGATGAAAGGGACCAACATTACATATGGTTTACTATGTAACGACACTTTTAACCGACAGTGCCCACTGGGCACTGCATTTATTTTACATGTATATATGTATTACAGTATATATTTTACATGATAATTATATTTTACATTTAATCTGTTACAGGAACTATCCCTGCTAAGTCATACCATAGATACTCCACTGTATTATAAATACAGTGGAGTATCTGTATTTTATGTAATAAACAATACCACTGTATTTTTCCGGTGGATAGGACACATGGTTATAACAAGTTTAAGCTCAATGTCGTGGCTTAGACAAAAGAGCATGGTAATAGAGTACCTGTACACTTATAAACACTTACTAAATGTATGTTTCAACATACTCAAAAATATTCTTACAAATAACTTTATAAAATAGAGGGCAAGTCTTAAGTGAGCTTCTAGTAGTATGGTTATTTCAGACCTTCTGATGGCTACTATGGACCTTCTAGTGGTTACTAGGACCTTTCAAGTGGTTATTAGGGACCTTCTAGGGATATTAAGTCAAAGCAAGCCTTGCATGCTGGAAAATACAGTACAGTACTGTATATTATTTTGGTTATTGAAAATTTGTAGTTTAGTAAGCATGGTACATTGTTACTGCCTTAAATGTATCTACATGCTAGCAAAAAATGTATAAAATTTTGATGCAGCAAAAAAATGCAATAATCTCAAATCATAATTTTGTTTATTTTTCCATTTCCAAAGGAACTGCAAAAATATGAATTGGAAAACATTTGATTGACAATTTAGTAATTGTTATAGACAACTATTATTTATCGTTTTTGCAATGACAGTATTCATAGTTTCACTTTAACTAAAAAGAGTGTGTTACACTTTTACAAATAGGGGCAGCTGGTACCACTTACCTTTTTGGGCTGGTGTAAATTTTTCTGGTACACAGTTTTCATGGGCATTATCATTAGAGGAATCATCATCATGCAGTCCTATGTGGCATGCTCTAGACACTCTTGCAAATTATATTCATCCTATTATTACTAAAAGATGGCAGCACCGTGTTTTTGTGATTACTGTACATTTTATGCACCATTTGCTTCCATTGAGCTCTGCACATTTTTTGTTTTATAAATATCAGTACAGTTATGGATATGCCAGATATTTCCCAAGTAAGAACTGATGAAATTTTAATGTGTACAAAATATTGGGGAGGAAGTTGTGAAGGAAGCGGAAACTGGTGCTAATGGCCGAAAAGTGTAAGAGTTTTTTCTCGAGCAATGCCGACTTTGCAATAGCAGAATCACGATGAAAAGTGGGCATTACATTAGTAATGAATTTGCCCGCAATCTTGCCAATCCTCCAACAGATATGGGGAAGAGGAGTACTGTATTAACATTAGTAGTGGAACCATTGTGACTTAAGCTCTTGTATAGCTACATAAATCTTAATATTGTTTAAGTCATTTAACTGTCCATTGGTGCTGTGTTTCTTGAAAAAAAAAAAAAGTTCTAATCCCATCAAGGAATGCACCTTGTGTCAAGGAAGACTTAAGTGTAGGTTAAGGAAGCATCAAGTAAGAAGAGGGACAGATTTGATATACAGGGAATAGAAACAAAGGAAGTAAAGTTTACAGTTATATTTATCAAGACACCACCTAGGGTTAAGAGAGAGGGGAGAAGAGAGGAACAAGAGATGATAATAGGAAAATGGTTGGCTTATGGACGTTATCACCAATCTTGGTAGATGGAAGTAGTACGGACAGAAACATCAATGCAAGAGCATTTTCATTGGAAAAATCAACATGAGTTTGCTTGCTAGTATTTTAAGAGAAGAGCAGAGATGATAAAGGGTTCCAAAAGATTATCTTGCTAGCAATCACCTCAGAGGGCATGTTTTAAGTTAAAATTACCTATAAAGAATAGAGGCTCTTGTAAAATTGTAAAAGTTGCTTAAAAATGAATTAGAAAATAGGAAAGGAGAAAGAGAATACCATATAACTTGCAATTATGCAAGCAGTAGTGTAATGGATGCTCAATGAAAAAGTATGATGATGAAAAATCATCATTTCAGATTAAAAGAGCAGTGATGCTAGGATAACTGCTACGAGGATGAGGTAATGTTAAAATAGTATAACTACCAAAGTCAGTAGGACAAATGGCAAGCATTGGTTCCTGAAGATGGACACAACAGATCAAACTTGGATATTAAAAAATTAACACTTTAGTGCACGCGGCACTTGCTGAAAATAAAGCGGGTTGTGCGCGCGGCGTTCTGGGCGCTCAAGCGTAAACACAAAAAAGTGTATAATCTTTTCACGCTCCTAACATCAATTCTCGAGCTACGTTTTTCATTTTGGTATCAATGCGTTGGCAATAAAATTCTCTACAAGATCATATGCATAAAATGTCACCCAAGCATTTGGTATCCCACCACGAAGTAAATAAACACGAAGATGACTCGCCGTGACACCCAAACAGGAAGTAAATGTTCATACTCTTTCGTTTGTTGCCAGCCTCACAGTCATCCTACGGCGCTCATTTTGATATCACTGAACTCGCAATAAAATTCCCCACCCAGACATATGCCTATCAATGTCTAATTATGGTATCGGGTGACCCGCACGAGTGTGGGAACTGGGCGAAGCGTTAGCCGTGATTTCAGCAGTGACGACACTGGTGTGATGCAGCGCTTTGAATGTTTATACTTATTTCACTGTCCTGACATTATTTCTGGAGCTACGTATTTCATTTTTATAGCAATGTGTTCGCAATAGAAAGTTCTATAAGAACATGGGTAGAGTTGGCCAACACAGCGTCAAATAAATTTGCGGCGAATAAAATCTTACGCGTGTTTGTACCCGTGAGCGTCAAAAGTTTTTACTTTGCTCATGTTTTTCAAGTTTATACTTGTTTCACACCGTTTTTTTCTTTTGTATAGTGTTCCGAATAAAATTCCCTACACAGACATATGCATATCAAATACAATTCCTTGGAATTCACAGCTGTAGAGATGACGGAAAACACACAACCGGAACCCGCTCTTGACACTCCAACTCACACCCGCAACACCCACAAAAAAAGTTTCTCTTGTTTCGTGTATACTTACTTTAGTTTTCGTGCTACAGTTCTCATTTAGGTATCAAAATATTCCTAAGAAAATAGACTACAATACTGAAAGAATCTAAGACAATTATGTGTACTTACCAAAGCAAAGACGATTGTAGTAAAATAAGTTGAGCATTTTATCTCCACTCCACCTCCTTCAGGTACTGATTCCTGAAGTTGCTCAACAGATGTTCCTAGGTGGAGTGAAGCTGGTGTGGGTGGTTATTTCTTGTCCACCCAATACACCCTTTTCCTGTGATAAGTGGTGTAACAAGGTATGACGCAAAGTGGAACATCGCATGTCTTTCACGCTATACCAGTTTCCTTCCTGATACCCGACTTTGCACACACTTCACACCTGCGACGTTTGGGGATTTTTACCAGCTCATGTTTCAATGTATAGTTCAGGCGAGTCTCTGCTATAACAACACGTCGCTGTTGTCTCTGGGTTGGCAATAAACTACTGTCTGAATCGTCGCTCTCACTATTGTTTTCAAACACTAATGTGGAATATGAATTATCTTCATCAGATTCAGCTTCAGCACTAGGTGTAGACGTGAAGAGAGGGCGCCTTACACCCGACGGGCCAGGTGTTGACGGGTCAGTAGCAGGATACACAGGACCAGTGTCATCATTTATGTCTGGAGCATGAACTAGATGTGGAGATGGTGTAGTTGTTGCAGGCCACTCTGCCTTGTCAAATTTCAATAAAGACCAAATAGCAACTTCATGGAACTGGAGCAGAGTTAGTTTCCTTCGATCATCTGTGTTGGCCTTGTACAATGCATAAGCGTTTTGCAATGCCATTTGTAAGAAATAAAATGTTATTTTCTTGGTCCACTTGTGACATTTCCTGGCGAAATGGTAATACTTTACCATTTGATCAAAGTGGTAGATTATACCTTCATGAACTTATTGTAGTCAACAATGGCCTGTGGTTTGTTCACCACAACCTACTGTAGTCTTACTGTTCCATCTGCCCTGCGAACTCGTTTTCTTTTCTGAACTTTCTTTGTGTCTGCATTGTGTAGGTTGGTAATCATAGAGACAACTCGCTTGTCGCCCGCAACTCGCCCCCTCCTCCTCCTCAGTTTGGCTTTCAGTCTCATCCTCTGTTGAGTCATCCCCAAGGGGTCTACGGCCCCCAATTTCAAATTCTTCTTCTACATCCTCACCTTCTGCATCACTTCGTTCATTTTCAGCTTGATCAAAGGCATCCAAGACATTGGGAATCTTGGTGGGAGTGAGCCTCATACCAGCAAACCTCCTATAGATGGCGGTAACCCTGTCTTTTCCACTTGATTCCGAGGCTCCTGTAGCCGAAACACCGCTTGGGCCTGGTGCTGGATCCATTATTGATGAATTTAGTGGGTTATAAACACACACAAACGGGTAATAATCCTTGAAAACGTGCGAGTTTGGCGGCCGAGGGGAGAGATCCGATCACGTGACGGATCACTGGGTCAAGGCCTGTCACGTGACCCAGTAGGCCAACGTGACTTGCGGCCTACCCGAGAGAACGGGAATTTCATGGCGCGGAGTTTGAAACAAACCCAAAGTAAATCGGATTTAAACTGGATTTTTTACAAATATTTTAAACCGCACCGTAAATTTACGTCGTGATCCGACAAGTGGTTAGGGAAAACGCCCGTAATTCCAAGTCGAAAATCCAGAAAAGTGTTAAGGATACAAAGTCTGCAAAATTGAGTAAGGGGTTGATAAAACACACTTTATGTAAAATGATAATCTTAAGCCCCTACTGAACTGCTAAAGTGGCAAGATTTTTGTCTTGAGTAAAATCTTATAATCAATAGGAAAAACAGATGGGAGGAAAAATAAATGACTAGAGTAAACATGAAGGTGTTTAACAATTTATTTCAGAATGCATGGTACAGTAATATAAAGCTGGCACTCTACTCTCCTACTGTAACATCAGTCCCATAAATGGCCTAGCAATACCTAAAAGCTTTCACTAGCAGATTACTCAAAAGACTCTTCACGCCAATTTGTCGCTTAAAAGATCACAAATGATTAGTGCCTGTATGAATTAACCTTACACTGTTTCCCATTTTCATTGACTGGGAAAGCATCATTCATCAGTAAAAGCAGTGATAAAGCAAAAAAGTAGTTATTGATAAAGAAAATCATTACTGTATCATTCACAATACAATAAACGGCAGCACAGATAAGCACTACCACTACATGGAGTGATTGACTGCTGCTAACGACTAGGTGCACAGTGCTCATGAATTATATAATTCCAAATACACTACTCCATTGTTACTCCCCGCTTCCTCACACATGTTCATCAAACCTTTTCCTTGGCCTTGCTCTTCCTTCCTCAAATTCACCGAAATATGTTCTTCACCAGTCTACAATAATCCATTCATTCTACATGCCCAAGCCATTGATGAATGCCATCTCATTCTGGCACTTTATTGACATTGAAACTTCAGATCTCATTATATTTTCATTACATACTCTCATCTATTTTTAATACCACATGCTTCTTGTATCCATTTCAACTGCTCCGACTATTTTTCATGTTCATACTACACCACAATCTCACTACCATATATAAGGCACGACCACCAATTCTTGCAGACCCTGGCTGCATCCACTTCCACATTAAAAAAACTAGATAGTTTTCTACAAGGAGTGCCGGACCAACTGGACTGTGGTGGATATGTGGGCCTGTGGGACATTCCAAGCAACAGCCTGTTGGACCAAGCTCTCATAAGTCAAGCCTGGCCTTTGGCTGGGCTTGGGGAGTAGAAGAACTCCCAGAACCCCATCAAGCAGGGTTTTTTTTTTTAAACTTAGAGCTTTCATTGCAAGAGCCACTTTCCTTACCTAACATACCCTCCTCTCAAGTTCACAAATACTGCTTCCATCAATCACACATCCCAGGTATTTTAACCGATACACAATTTCCAGCACTTCACTTTCCACATTTATTCCATACACTCAATTTTTTTTGCCACAATTTTTCTTTAGTCCACATTCACATTTAAGTCTCCTCTCACATCCTGATACAATGTTCACCTACACAATTCTCTTTCACTCACTAAAAGAACTATTATCTGCATGCACCAAATTTTTTATACTCTACCTACTCATATTAGGAATATACAGTACTCAAGATTTAATTACAGCACATTTAATAAAATCAATAAAACATAAGCATCATTAAATTGAAAATGATTAACTCCATAATATAAACTTGAATTGCCGCTTGTTTTGCAGTTCCATTATAACCAACCAGTTGCCATTTGGCAAACCATGAGTGCTTTTCCTGTTGAAACTACAGGACTTGACTGTCTGCTGGTGTTAGGCTGAAAGTGTCGAGGAATTGCCTGGCTTTAACTATCTGTGCATCAATGCTGGCAAGAGCTGTCCCACCCGTTGCTTTATATTGCTCAACACTGTGCTCATAGTTCCACACAGATGATACATCATCTTCAAATAAGGGACTGAAAATATGAAAAAGCAAAGAGATACAAATATATATACCAGGTTACTTAATGTGCATTGCAGCACTTAAAACCTTATATTTGGTAATTGTACAGTACAGTATTTATTTTGATTTGCCCCTTTTCTATCATACATACTTACAATGGCTACAAAATCGCAATCTAATTCAAGTTGATTAATCTTTAATTACATTTTCAAGAATAAGCCAACAGAAGGCAAATTACGTAAAGGAAATGATCCAATAAATGTATATCACAAAATGTATTCTTTTTAATATAACAGAAAACTACAAACCTTATTTTGGTGAGCTGATCTAGGGTGAGGTCTGACAGGTGGCAGCCAAGCTCCTCTGATAATTTCACCACTTCGCCAGCTTTGCCATGTGCATTACGGAATGCCATCTGGAATGCAACAATAGCAAGATCCATTAACCTTTTATATGTAACTTGTATAAAGTAATAGACCAGTTTATAAATAAGTTACATCTAAAGGAATGTTGGTAAGCAAAGATTTGTCGTCAAAACTAGACCAAGAGTAACGGTATGTAAACAACTCAATAACCATTACCTTTGATTAATTGGCTAATACAGCCAATAGTTGTTCAAGTCATCTGACACAAAAACACATTCACCAAGCTACATTTGATTAGATTCACAATCTCTGCACAGCTCCAACAAAAAAGGTAAACTGGAGCAGATGGTCTGTTAAGACCCAAAAAGGCCATAGGACTTGCACTTTAGAAGACCTAATACACTTGCCCTTTGGGTCATGGAAGCACACAACACGTACCAGAACAGGTGGAGAACAGGCGCACATCAGGATTGTGGAATAGAACTTCACACCAACGGAAGGCATATTTTCATAACACAAATTGTGTGTTATTCTTCAGACTTAGCTCAGTGTTACAATAGGTAATTGATTAGAATACTCTAGCTGGCAAAATGAAGATTAAGGGGAAACATCAAAATGGCCATCTGCACAGAGCACACATTGGTAAATTCAAATGAAAATTTATGACATCCCTAAAACTCAAACAAACCACTACCAAGTAGCACTGCTTTAGTCTTTTTGCATAATTTGTACGCATCATGTGGCCTAGTTTCACTTTTTCCCACGCTTATACAGCATTTATCCACATTTAATTTCATTTGTCACGTATTGCTCCATGCCCTTATTTTGTAATTTTGAAGGGCCTTACAATTGTCTAGTTTTTTAACTAACCTACTGGGGAAAAAAAAAATAATTATATAGTCTAACATTACTGGCACTAGTAACTGCAAAACCTTACACATCCTAGAACACCCACAATTCACTAGTAAAATTCAATTCAATACTTTAACTCACCCCTTTCTTGACAAGGTAATAGGCAACATCCGTCGATAACATCTCCTCAGACAAGGCCTTTCGACAGACATCCTCGTGTATCTGCAGAAAACAAATTAATGAACACGGTATGAAATTAATATTGTGTTAGAGCAGCAGAACTTGGCACTCTTAAGGATCGTTAGTAAAACAGGTTAATGAGAGATTTACATTTTGTCATAGTGGAGCACAAGTTGATGAGAGATTTACATTTTGTCATAGTGGAGCACAGGTCGATGAAAGCTTTGTGTTTTGTCACAGTGGAGCACAGGTTGATGTAAGCTTTGTGTTTTGTCACAGTGGAGCACAGGTTGATGAAAGCTTTGTGTTTTGTCACAGTGGAGCACAGGTTGATGTAAGCTTTATGTTTTGTCATAGTGGAGCACAGGTTGATGTAAGCTTTATGTTTTGTCACAGTGGAGCACAGGTTGATGTAAGCTTTATGTTTTGTCACAGTGGAGCACAGGTTGATGTAAGCTTTGTGTTTTGTCACAGTGGAGCACAGGTTGATGTAAGCTTTATGTTTTGTCATAGTGGAGCACAGGTTGATGAAAGCTTTGTTTTGTCACAGTGGAGCACAAGTCGATGAGATTGTGTGTGAGCAATGTCCTGAGAGGACCCTGGCCATGGATTAGAAAGCAGCCAAAGGGGCCTTCCTCAAAAATTTAAGCATCATTCAAATTTTGGTACAAATCTTCTATACATTACTACTCTGCTGCATAATGTTGAGAGTAAAACTATATTTACAAATCATCATCCTCATTGCCCCATTACCTACTGTAATGAGATGGTCAACCCATGCAGTTATGAATGTGGCAACAGAGTACAAGAAATGTCATGGCATTTACAATACATAATACAGTTCAGGCATTTATTATAATAAAGCTTGCATATTGTCTAAATGCTTTAAGAAACTTTCACCGCATGGTCAGTACTTCCTGAAATATATTTAACTTTAACCAGTGTTGCTGGAAAGCCTACCTGGCAAATATCTTACTCCATATTTCAACTGTATCAGTGTTGAACTTCTATTGTTCTAATTTTATAACTGACAATATTTGAATTATTCTTAAGAGTTTAATTTTTTAAACATTTAGTTTACTCCAACAATGCAGTTCCTGTATTTGTACTAAATACATGTTACAATATTTCCTAATTAAAGTTCAATATACAAAAGTTGTGTACAAATTCCCCTCCCTACTAGAATATTACTGACTTTGAGCGTTGCTACTGTTCCGGCTGCGACTTGCAGAATTCCCAGCAGTGTTGAGGCAGTTTCAAACATCTTCACCTTGTCTTCTTGGAGATCCTTATTATAGGTTGATGGCAGGCCTTTCAGAACCATCAAAAAACCACACAACTGGAATGTGGAACAAAGCATTAAAAGTAATTTGCTACCATGACACTCATGTGCGCTTAGTTGCAAACAATTTCACATAATGACTAAATTCTACCAAATACAATAAGAAAATTGTATTATTAATGCAATAGTAACATTAGTATGACAAGAATGTCTTTATATGAAAAACAAAAAAGGAACAATCACTGTTAAAGGAAAGACAAGTTAGGAATTTGTACAGTAAATACATTATTCATCGTCATCTCTTGCTCTTATTAAATGAATAATTAATTAAATTTATTTTTTCTAAATATTATACAAATATAAAATACTACTCCACTGTGCAGGCGATGAGTCACAATAACGTGGCTAAAGTATGTTGACCAGACCACACACTAGAAGGTGAACGGACGACGACGTTTCAGTCTGTCCTGGACCATTCTCAAGTCGATTCAATCGACTTGAGAATGGTCCAGGACGGACTGAAACGTCGTCATCCCTTCACCTAGTGTGTGGTCTGGTCAACATACTCCACTGTACAATAGTGTATTAATATTTGCGCATCTTAACATAAGAATATGTCTTGCCTCTCCAGTGGCGAGTACTGAAAACAGCCAACTGGAAATATTTTATTGACTGCAGTACAGTACTAAGCCAAGTGCTATAAATTAACTTAACTAAAAGCAGGCAGGCAGGTAGGAATACAAGCAGGACAACAGGCAGGTGTAGGTTGGCAAGTAGGAAGGCATGCAGCAGGCTAGACAGGGAAGGCATGCAACTGGAATTATCAGATCTCGGTCATCAGAGACTAATCAGTCACGCGATTTCATCCTGTTCAGATAACCCACAATGCAAATAAAAACCTTTTATTACCTCCGACCTTAGTTCCCAAGTTTCATTCTGTGTCTGCGAGAATGTACTATTTAAATAGCTTTAAAACCACTATGCAATGCGAGAGAACAAAAACTAATGCACATTCAAAAGAATAACTAAATATAATGTACTGTATTTCAAGAAATCAGAACCAAGACATGCTTGCTTACAAATGAATAGTATCAACACCAAATCTATAACAAAGCAAGCACATCTTACATTTCCTGCCATAGTTCCGGCCTTTCCCCTTATCAGTTCAAGGCTGTCCGGATTCTTTTTCTGAGGCATGAGAGAACTGCCGGTAGCGTATGCATCGGAAAGCTTCACGAAGCCAAACTCGCTCGTGGAGTACAAGATGAGATCCTCTGCTAAGCGACTCAGGTGAGAGCATACCAAACTACCCCAAAACATGTATTCCACTGAAAATAAATGTGGTAATGTTAAGATAACAAATTTAAATCTTGTTAATTAGTTCATTTGTATGCAGACGAGGAGTCACAATAATGTGGCTGAAATATGTTGACCAAACCATCAAGTCGACTTGAGAATGGTCCAGGACGGACCGAAACATCGTCGTCCCTTCACTTTCTAGTGTGTGGTTTGGTCAACAGTTCATTTGTAGTTCTAATTCTTATTTCATAATAATAAATAAAAATATGATGTACTTTTTAGTTGTCAATTTGTTCCTATGACCTTATGCTGCTTTTCAAACCATTTTGTTTAACTTCCTCCCAGCCCCCTTGAAAAAAATAAATAGGAACCATAACAATTCTTATCTTTATTAAATTGTAATATGAAGAGATGAGGTACGTAGAAGATGAAAGGGTATCTTGAGTTATTAGGCGTTAGATACAGGAAAGGTAGCACTTGGGGTTCAGAGTAAAGTCCACTAATAGATTGCAAGATAAATACAGGATGAAGATAGAATATGAACATACGTAATGGGGAAAATAATGAAGGCTGCCAATTAAAATATAAAAAAAAACACAAACTGCTTCACAATGCTCAGTGGTCATGTAAGCTGCTGCTATACTGTATATATATAAATACTTTCCTCTTTTTGGTACTACAATCATTAAAGAGCATGTTATCTTCGTAGATATAAAATATAACATGTGAATTTAAACATTTAGTTTTGGGCTGCATTTTAACTCTGGAGGGATGGTGCAAAGAAAAAAACATGGTTTTGCAACCGTAGTTAAAATATACAGCTAATTAATAAGTACCTATGAACAAGTCTGGCATAAAACCAAGTACTACCTGAAGACTGGGGCACCTAAAGGAGCCCCAGAAAGGACAACGACCAAACCCTTCCTAGAAAATAACCGAGGAAATATGAATCGGTACCAAGGAAATCAACCCAGAAACACTTTGATAACTAATAGGCTAAGGATACACAAACTTGGTAGCACAAACACAATCATTGACAGTTTTTTCAGTTTTGGGTAATCTGTGATCGTCCAGTCATTCCTCCTAAAGCTTCCCAATGTCAAGAAACTGCCGTACTAAATTGCCCTCTCCTAACCTACCAGAGGATCTAAAACAGAAAACAGGACAGCATGTCAATTTCGTGAGTCGCAACCATTCTCTAGCATGACAATTTTTGCCCTTGTGTAAATTATGTCAAAATGCGACATGCTATTAGGAGGATAGGTTGGATCGTCACACTAGATTCCGATTCCGATACTTTGTAGTCCTGCACGTGTCCAGAGGTTTGGTAGCATCATAAATGTGTGACACCAGGGAAACTACTGCGTAGTTGCTAACACAAAAATGCTTGCCATATAGTTGGATAATTTGGTATTGTACAAGGAGAATTATGAAATTCAAATATGGTTAGATTATCTTGATTATGTAGATAAATGTTCACTATGTTTACTCACCTACAAAATCACGATCACTGACTGCATGAAGGCTGTTTTTTGTGACTTCTCCAAACCCAAGTTCTTTAGCCAGACTCTCTCTGTCAATGCTGAATGGATTTCCAGCTAAAGCTCCAGAACCCAGAGGACAGATGTTGACACGTGCATACAGACTACGAAGGCGTTGTAAGTCTGTCACTAGAGGCCATACATGGCTGAGTGGGGAAATTTTATAAATTATTTACCTGTATCTACACCAAAAAGCAATTATATTTTGTAAGCTTAAAATTGCTTCTATACTAAGGTACAGTATGTATATTTACAACTTGCTACACTTTTTCTATGCAAAGATGATCAAGCATTTTCCAATGTGGTCTTTTTAAATTATATTTGCTTGAATTTACCCGAGGGCCACTAATACTAGTGGCCTCAACGAGGACAGGAAGCTGGCAGCTTGTCAAAGGTACCCCCCATTTGCCCTGATGATGGTTTCTAGCTATATGTTAAAACTCAGCAGAGTTTTGCCGTTTATTGCTTTGGTGGGAAGGCAGTTGAACGGGTTTACAACCCTATAGGTGAAAAAGCATCTCCTGTTTTATGTCCTACATTGTGGCTTGTTGAGCTTTAACTTATTCGTGTTACATCTGACCTTTTGAAGAAACTGTCTGGATCGACATCGTCCAAATTGTTTAGTATTTTGAAGGTTTCTATGAGATCTTCCCTGTCATATCTGGTCTGCAGTGTTGTCAGCCCAGTGGCCTTCAACTGTTCCTGATACGAGAGATGACTAAGTCCTACTATGATTTTTGTTGCCCAGTGTTGCACCTTTTCCAGAGCAGCTGTGTCTTTCTGAAGATGAGGTCTCCATGCTTGGATGCAATAATCCAGGTGGGGGCACACCAGAGACTCATACAACTGAACGACTACTTTCTTTTCCTTGAAGATAAAGGTACGCTTGAGTAATCCCAGGGCTTGGTTCACTTTTTTACTGCCGCTCTCACTTGTTGTGTAACTTTAGTGAATGATGGATTCTGGTTCCAAGAGCCTTTTCTTCAGCTATCTGTTGTAAGGTAGTGCTATCAATTTGGTAGTTGTGACATGGATTGATATGCCCCCACATGCAAGGTCTTGCATTTATCGACATTAAAAAGCATTTGCCAGTCATCTGACCATTTGTGGAATTCATGTAGATCTCTTTACAAGGTCTTAATATCACTTTCACTTCCCACTTTACCATAGAGTTTTGTGTCATCTGCAAATTTGATATGGTTTGTAATATTCTCATATTCTCATCTATGTCATTAATGTATATGACAAAAAGGGTTGGCCCCAAAATGGACCCCCGTGGCACCCCACTTAACACATTTCCCCCAGTCAGATTCATTTCCACTTAGTACGACCCTTTGTTTTCTATGTTTTATCCATTCCAATATTCTCCCATTTATATACTGTATATAAACTACATATTCACATTGCTTTTTGGCATAGTTCCCTCACCATTTATTTTTGACAATAATAAAGTAAAATATGGAAAGAGGAGAATTTATCTCATCTATTACTGACTTACAGTATATTGTCTATTATCAACAGATATTACTTATCTGACCAGCATCGGGTCCGTCTAATTACCACAAGCTACCACAAACTACACAAACTTCAGAAAGCTTCCTGGCAATACGTTAGTAATGAATAAATATGATATATTAAGTTAGGCTGACCTAACCTAACCTAACCTAACCTATCCTAACCTATCCTAACCTAACCGAAGCTTGGATCGTCGACTTGATTTGGCGTCACCAGCTTTTTATTTTCGTCTAATTTCTTTATAAAAAGATACTTTTTCAGATTAAAATTATGTTTTTTCGTGTTGTACATTCAGCACCAACATTATAATGAGTAAATATATCATATTTATTCATTACTAACGTACTGCCAGGAAGCTTTCTGAAGTTTGTGTAGTTTGTGGTAGCTTGTGGTAATTAGACGGACCGCCAGCATCTAATCAGAGCTGCCAGTTGTAACCAAAACACCAGGCAAAGCATTTTAAAGGACATGGCCACCACCCTCAACCAATCCAACCTTTTCCTCTAGAAAAAGGTTGGAAGTAGGGAAGCAAATTGAAGTGTTCAAAACAGCTGTCAGGTACAGTGAGTCAGACTGAATTCTGTCACCATGTACTGCAGGAGTGGAGATAACTGAATAGAAGTGGAATCCACAACTGAATTAACAGACAGGGTAGAGGACGAGCCGAAATCAACTTACAACTGCTCGGAGATCACCTGCACTGTACATGAACATGGTATTACATGTGATAGACAGAAATAGATGTGAGCCTTGCAGTCCACTTCTATTAAAAATGAAGTCAAATTAGAAAACTGAACATGGAGTTACCACAACCTGACATTCTGGAAGGCAGGTGCAGAAAGAGCACTGTTATCACAAAGTGCCCCAAGAAAGACCTGAAAACACCAAGAGATTGCTTCCTTTCAATCAAGTTCCTGTCATCGGCCAAAAAGCACCACTTTGTCAAAGGCAAAACAAGGGGTTGTCTGCCAGCCAGGATAAAAAACTAGGATGCTAAACAGGATCTATGCTTTAGCAACTTTGATTGTTACGGCCCTCTCGGGACGCAACGGGGTCCTTACTCTGATGTTGTTAGAGGAAGTTGTATCCGACCCCAAGCCAGTACTCAACCCAAATTAAAGTACTCAAAGTTCATGATTCCTGTGATTCCTGTTTCACAACAAGAGCCAAAGCAAGTCCCAACAAGTCACACTAGGAGCAAGACAAAACAATGGAAACCAGATAATGAACCCAAGAGCACAGGTATCTCTGGTGGAGCAAGGGAAGTTAAATCGATCACCGAGGAAGGCACAGCCCCGACACCACACCCAATGTGGGTGGTATAAACACAATCATGAAATGTAACTGAAACAGAGCAACAGCCCATCATGGCCCAGCTGGTCCAGAGACAGCCAGCACCACTTAACTGAAAATTGTGGAGCAGCAGGTAGGACTCGGGAGCAATGCAACCTTGACAGGCAACATGTAAATTTACCCGATTTACCAGAGGGCCACTAACCCTAGTGGCCTTGACGAGGACAGGAACCCGGCGGTTTGTCAATGGTCTCCCCTCACCCATTTGTCTTGATCTTTTCTAGGTATATTTTAAAATACCTACCTAACATAATAATATAAATAAAATATATTTTAGGTATATATTTAGCCGGTCGGCCGAGCGGACAGCACGCTGGACTTGTGATCCTGTGGTCCTGGGTTCGATCCCAGGCGCCGGCGAGAAACAATGGGCAGAGTTTCTTTCACCCTATGCCGCTGTTACCTAGCAGTAAAATAGGTACCTGGGTGTTAGTCAGCTGTCACGGGCTGCTTCCTGGGGGGGGGGGGGGGGGGGTGGAGGCCTGGTCGAGGACCGGGCCGTGGGGACACTAAAAAGCCCCGAAATCATTTCAAGATAACCTCAAGATAGGTATATACCTAAAATACAGTAAAAAAAAAAAAAAAAAAAAAGAGGCAGGCAGTAAACCCTGGGTGACATGGGGTGCCATCTTGTGGTGGTTTGGGTCATCATTGTTCAAGTAGTTTGTCTACGGTATCACTAGTTTTTTTGTGAATTTTGTTTAGCTTTTTGGGTCTAAACCCCAGGCTCTCCTGGCCCAATAAGAACCATTTTCTTGTCCTGGCTTCTATGAGGGGATAGGGTGGGTCTCAGAGACCTGGTGTGATTACCTAAGGCGTGGCAATACCAGTGCTTAAGCTTATGAAGGCCATTCCAGACAAAAAAAATTTTGGAGGTCTAGAACTTGACAAATTTTCATACAAATTTAGACTTGTTCCTTATGAGATTTTCAGAAATGCAACCCTATTGATTTGAACAAGAAGTATGTTTCCGAGTGATCCTTTCCAAACATTTGCAGATAATGAATTGCAATAATGCAGTTAAACAACTCAACCCCACACATCAAATAAAATAAAAGTGATGACGTTTGGTCTGTCCATGGTAGACTGATATGTTGTCACAGTTGTTTAATTTCATTTGTGTGTGTGTGTTGGGTTATTTCCAAAACATACCTTTGCCACATAATAATGGTCATAAGAGTAACTACTCTATGCACTTCCCATTTATACTATGTAATATTTATGGATAAGTGCATATTAGTGACTTTATACACAATTTCTGTATCTACTAATTAACCACTACCATGTTCTTAAATAAGAATACTTATAAAATATACATATTATATAAATACAGGCAGTAGAACTCACCTCAGTAGCCAGTGGGACCAGCGGATGGGCTGTGCCCGCTGCAGGTGCGTGTAGCCAGGCATCAAGATGTGCTTCTCAGCATCGGCACGATCAACAAAAACCTGACATCAGAGATAGCCGTTATTTCTTAAGAATCGGTAATAATGAGGTAAATGATTCAAGACTTGGGTAAATAATTACCAAGTTAAAGAAGTAAAAAAAAAGACTAAAAACATAATTATGGTACCTTACCTTACCTTGAGGTTAGGTAAGGTACCATAATTATGTTTTTAGTCTTTTTTTTTGGTACAATAGACAGCCAGAAGCAACACCAGCCAGTTGAAGTTATTGTAGGACAGGCAAGAGACACACCTGGAGGAACGGGATGTACTCATTAACTAAAGCTTTAAGCATAACACTGGAAAGAACAGCTTCCAAAAATCTAAAAAAAAAAAGGCAAATGTAGTTAAAATATTCAATAAAGGGTAAAAATATCCAATGCAAAATACTGAAAAAAATAATAATCAGGAAAAGAATTGTAGAAATTCAGAATGTAAATTTTGTAATGGAAGGAAAACACAGCACGAGATGGGGAGGGGGGAAGAAAAAATCATGCTTGAGAAACCTTATTGAATTCTATGACTCGCTAACATAATACAGGAGTATGAAGGATGGGTAGACTGCATCTTCCTCGACTGTCAGAAACCTTTTGATAGCTCCTAAATAGACACCGAACTAAGGATGAGAGTATCTGACAGACCGGAAACCAGGTTAAAAGTCAAAGAGAATAAGTTAAGTTGGAGAGAAGTCAAAAGGTGGGGATCTCCAGGTCCTAGAATCATTTACAGTGACACCTCGGCTTACGAATGCCCCTCTTTACGGATTTTTCGGGTTACGGGCTCAATTTCTTCATAAAATCCGAATCGGGTTACGAACTTTGCATCAGGTAACGTAGTTTGTTGACTGCATATGGCCGACCTAGCATGTGGTAGCACGGCAACCATGCCTCAGTTTACCAATGCCTACCGCCTAGTTCGCACCCGAATTTTTTGTAAAGAATTTAAGTGTTTTTCCGATTTTTGGGTATTTGAACATAAAAGTAATTATTATATATCTCGCCATGGGTCCCAAGAAAGTCAGTGGCAAGGTTCAACCTCAGAAAATAGTTGTGAGTAGAAGTAGTAGAGGATGTCCCTTCCTCATTAAGAAAATGTGTGAAGTATGGTAAGAACTGCAAAGTTTTGTTGAAAACACTACAGACACTTTACTTATTTACTACATCATTTACTACAGACACATGTTAAAATGTAGGGAAAAACAAGTGTCTTTAGACAGATTCTTAGCAAGACAAGCAAGCATTGAGCCGCAAGCAGGGCCTAATGGTACTCCTGCAAAACGTAGGAGAGAGAGAGTACCCCAGAGAAGTCATCACTGCCTGATGTTATAATGGAAGGGGACTTCCCTTCCAAACAGTAACACCTCTCCTCCTCCTCTCTCCCCCCACTTCTCACCATCTTCCTTATGTCAACACGTATCATCAATACAAGGTAAGCAATAACTTGTACATACTTTAGTACTAAAGATTTGGGTGAATTAGGTATAAAATTTACTTTGAAGTTAACATTTTTGGGAGTGTGGAACGAATTAATTCAATTTACATTACTTCTTATGGGAAAATTCGCTTCAGTTTACGAACCGTCTCTGGGAACGGATTAAATTTGTAAACGGAGGGGCCACTGTATCTTTCTAATTTCTGTAAATTACTTACCAAAGACAGCAAGCTTGTACATGCCAATGTTTGCAGATGATGTAAAGTTAACGAGGAGAGCAAGGACTGAAGGCTGGTGCAAGAAGACCTTGACAAGCTTCAGAAGTTGGCAGATAAATGGCTTCTGGAATTTCAATCCAAATAAGTGCATGGTAATGAAGATCTCCTGTCTCCTGAGGAGAGACAGGAGACATGTAGGCAAGTACACATATGGAAAAGATAACTACAAGAAACAATCCCAATACTAACTCCAGAAGCTCATGTGAATAGTATAGTATCAATGGCATATTGGTAGTTGGCAAATATATGAACAGCATTTAAGAATACAAAAAAAAAAAAAAAGAGAGGCTTCAAGTCCATACACACACAGTCGTTATACGACAAAGAGTACTGGGAAGACGGGACACCACGAGTATAGCTCTCATCCTTTAACTACACCTAGATAATAAATGGCTATACGAGACCATTACTGGGGCATGCAGCACCAGCCTGAAATCTGCATCTTAAGAAGCACAAATGAAATTTGACAAAGTACAAATGACGAGACAATAACGTGTCTTGTACTGTAATACAGTACAAAAGTTTACAACTAGGTTAGTACTGCTATGAAAAATTAACAGAACTCAACCTCAACTTTAGAGGGGAGAAGGAACAGGGTATATAATCACTATGTACAAGATACCGAGGTGAATAGACAATGTGGACAACGACATCATTTAAAGTGACAGGAGGTAGGACAAGTGGAGACATCAGTGGAAGCTGAATACATAATTGAGTCATAGATAAATAAAGAATTTACTTTGACATGCCAGGTACATTTACAGTCACAAAATGGTCACTGGGTCAGAATGTTAAAAAAAAAAAAAGTGTCAAGATGTTCGACATGGTGTGCACAACTTAGGAAAAGATTCGGGCTACTTTGCAACATTTGAAAATTTCACAAGTATACTGCTTTCTCAATTAGTATTTGAGGCCTCCATTAAACATCTGCAATCTTGAAAAGTAACTTATGTTTTTTGGGACATTTTTCCCATGCTTAGGGCATATGTTTAACAATATACTTTAACAATATACTTTAACAAGATAAAAACCTTACTTTGAATATTATTTTTCTGTTCATATACAGGTAATGTTTCATGTAACCCTTACAAAATGCAAGGGTTAATGTGATAACCCTGATTACCTCCTGGGCACCATTCCTTCCACCCGTCCCATCCCAAATCCTTATCCTGACCCCTTCCAAGTGCTATATAGTCATAATGACTTAGTACTTTCTCCAGATAGTTCCCTTCCCCTTCCTGTGCTCTAACCGCCATATGCATTTTTTCTTATTACTTTTGTAAACTATTTTTGTCAAGAGCACAACAATCTAGAACTAAATTAGCTGAGCCATTTAAAAGTTATTAAAAGCAAAAACTGTGGCACTGCTAAATAAAATAATAAAAGACTGTATAACCTACAATTCTGATGTACTAAAGAGTACTGTACATCCTCTCAAATTGGAATGTTACATACAAATAATTGAAATTTTATTTCTCCTCTTGAATTGGAATAGTGCAGGTGGCTGATTAGCACTCTTCCCAATTAGTTAGGTTATCTCGAGTTATCTTGAGATGATTTCGGGGCTTTAGTGTCCCCGCGGCCCGGTCCTCGACCAGGCCTCCGCCCCCAGGAAGCAACCCGTGACAGCTGACTAACACCCAGGTACCTATTTTACTGCTAGGTAACAGGGGCATAGGGTGAAAGAAACTCTGCCCATTGTTTCTCGCCGGCGCCCGGGATCGAACCCGGGACCACAGGATCACAAGTCCAGTGTGCTGTCCGCTCGGCCGACCGGTTCCCTAAGGTTAAGGCAAGTACAGTAGTTAGGTGGGTTACCATTGATGCAGTCTTGGCAAGGATGACCTTAAACCATAGACTTCCTCTTGCCAATATAGTGCACCCATACACAATTACATCGTGTTCACTTATGTTCCATACAATCCTCTAAGGCAACATTTCACACCATGTGATATAGTAAACACATTCCAGAAAAAAAAAATCCCCGTTACCTTAAGTAGTTTAGTCAAATGAGGCACAAGGAGTGTAATATGTTCCCGAAGCCACAACCTCATGTCCACAGCCACTTGGTCATTGCGGCTCCTGCCAGTGTGCACTTTACCACCAACATCGCCAACAAGTTCCTGGGAGTAAACAGGATAGCTTAATACACCCATAATATACAACTATCTTTAGCAATAAATCATTAATAAGTCTTATATAAGTGGTCAAAAGATAAAATGACAACTTGAGTGCATTATCTATTATAAGGTCATACATACACTGTACAGTGAAGATTGCTTGTAACTTAATAGATCAAGTCTGCCCGAAATGGTGTGCATACTAGTGGCTTTACAAGAATGTAAACACACCCTGCTATGTACTCTCATGAACCCAATGTACCTTCTTGTAATACAGTAATATATTTATATTATTAATAATAATAAAATATGTATTATATATATATATATATATATATATATATATATATATATATATATATGTATATATATATATATATATATATATAAATAAATAAAATAAATAAGTAGCTCCACCAAAAACACAGCCTAACGAATCATTCTAACAATTATTTTCCATCCAGAGTCTGTATACTGTACCTACTACCCAATACAGTAACTGCAGTACAGTACATTACAAAGTCACTTGCAAATATGCTAGATCTTAACACACCTTGAAACATACCTAAGCACTGATATCACTATCATTCACATGCCCTTAAAATGATTTTTTCACTTTAATTGATCATTCCCTATCAATTCGAAGACTATCTTGTACATGTAATCTTTCAGCTGTCTCAAAATAGGAATTACTGCTTCAAATTGTTTATGGCCTATATGAATCTTGAATCATGCAGCTGTACAAAGTTAATATTAATTCAGTAATGTTGTACTGTAGTTGTTTTACTAATTAACTTACAGTATTCTAACTGTGAATAACTACATATGAGTGATTAAGGCAAAACATAAGACAGATTGACAACATTAAACAAAATGGATAGCCATCAGGATCAAGCAAATACAGTTTGATTAAGCTGTTACTCATTTCTAAATATTATTAACTGGATGAGCATGAATATTAGTAGAGTTGGGCTATAAAATTCATTACAATGTAATATAGTGTAATGTAATATACAATGTAATATAGTAATATTACAATGTAATATAGCGATATGATGCAACCGGCAGGTTGCATCATATCACTTCCATTACTTAATCAGAAACCCAGCATTGAATGTAATGAAAAACCTCTTTCTGGAGGGAATCCTTTCCCAGTGGCTCTCTGAATAACTAACCACAGAGCAAATATGGGACTAACCAGGAAGGAGTGGTAGCAGACACTTGAACAAAGATAATGCAGGCCAGGAGACGTGGTCCAAAGTAACACACGACTGACTGGTACCAGGAACAATGACTAAATACTGGGCCGTCAGAATCCTGTTAGAATGACAAAGCCCTTAAGCCCTAGGACATGTAGAAGACTGCGGCCAAACCCGCATATCTGAGAACATCGTAGGCCTGAGGGCAGACTGCAGGTTAGCAAGACCTAATGACACTGCAGACGACCCAAGAAATGCAAGTCGTGGAACAGGGAAGCAAGGAACATCTAAATGACCACCACAGTGCAACCTTGAAATGGAAAATCACACCCGTAAACCGGCAGCTGCCTGGCAAGCCCCAGAGAGGAAGGAGGCCGAGACACAATGGAGACAAAGCACGCATAATGTGCAAGACTCTAGGTCGTAGGCATCACAGACCTAACAGACAGCAAGGCGGAGGCTGAGAATGACTGCCGAGAAGTAGGAGGATTGATAAACCAACCAGTTCTTGTGAGCATTCCCAACATCAAGAAACTGTTGTACTAAAGTGTCCTATCCTAGCTTACCAGAGGACCCACGAACAGAAAACAGGACTGTCAATTTCACAAGCCGCTTCCATTATTTTGTATAAAAGTTTTTGGCCTTTGGTAAGTTTGTCAAAATGTGAGATGTTATTAGGATGGGTTGGACAAGCGCACTACAAACTCACAAGTAGCGAGTGCAGACTCCTGGGTCGAAATAAAACTAGCTATGCCGTAGACCCCCAGGAAGAATTACAAAGGCCTGACAGTAACCAGCCAAGCAAAAACCCCAGGTTTTGGGGCTGCTCATTGCAAGAACAGTCACTAAACACAGCCAAAACTATAAGGCTACTAATGGCAACCATGGTGCACCATGCAAACAAGCATGCAAGCCCCAGTGAACCCGAGCACAACCAAAAGAATGCCCCCAAACAGATAAATCAAAGAGTCATGAATAGCCCAATAGTCATGAATAATGCCATCCACATTTGTGAACCAAATTTTCATAGAACTCATTTCTACTGGGCTGCTTTGTTTCCTCCCAATGGGTAGATTCTGCCCTTGGGCTAGACCCATTCCAGAGGCTGGCATTTGCAAGTGTTGCTCTAGTTACACATATTCATTACCCTGAGCTCTTTCCTCACTAGTGTAATTAGGCTCAATTTCTTGCTGTGTCAGATTCCTGTTGGAGGGATATATGGTGTGAAGCTGTCTGAGGCTGTGTGAAGCTGTAATAGCCATTTAACCTATGTTGTGGTCTAGTTCCCAAGGATCGTGGGGTGGGGTGTGTTCCTACAGGTAGAGGAATATGATGTATCCCTCCAACCTAATTCAAGCCAAATCACTCTTCATCCTCTACCACCTAAATGTGTATTGGGTTATCTCGAGATGATTTCGGGGCTCCCGCGACCCGGTCTTCGACCAGGCCTCCACCCCAAGGAAGCAGCCCGTGACAGCTGACTAACACCCAGGTACCTATTTTACTGCTAGGTAACAGGGGCATAGGGTGAAAGAAACTGCCCATTGTTTCTCGCCGGCGCCTGGGATTGAACCCAGGACCACAGGATCACAAGTCCAGCGTGCTGTCCACTCGGCCGACCGGCACCCTCCGACCGAGTACCCACTGATGCTCCGACTCTTTGCAGGTGTATCTTATCTTGACCAAAGTTTTGTCTCCAGTTCATGTGTTCCCTTCCCTTCTGGGGGTGGACCGAGGGTGGACCCTGACTGCTACATTTTTTATGGCCTAGGGTTAGTGAGCTTAATGTCCCTTTTCAGAAGAAAGTATTTAATTTTCAGTCCTGAAGTTCAGTTTGTTGGGATCCAAACTTCCCTTTCCTTTTTAATGAAGACTGAATCTTCACCTTTTTTTAGCAGAGAACTCTTCTGATCGAGGTATGGTTCATGAGACCAAAGTGTATATTGCTAACTTTGTTTAGTGGTAATGTTGCAACATTATTCAAGGGGCCATGAGAGGTCAGCATCAGTGGCACCAATTTTTAATCCTCAGTCAATGGTATGCATAAAAGCCAGACTCTCCCAAATGATACAAAGGGTTGTCAAGCTTAGCCTACCTAATATACATATCCTAGGGCTCACACTGAAAAAAAAACACTGCCTTGACCATTTCCTTTTTTTCTTCTGTGTCCACTGCCAGCATAAGAACCCAGAGCCTCTGGAGATCAAATCATATCCTTACAATATACTCCTGATCTATGATCCTCATAAGCCCTTCATTTGTGGGAACAAGATTGCTTGAAAATGTACTTTTTCTCGGTGTGCCAATATTGTCATCAGACACCTGGCATGTTCAGTTTTCTGCATGTGCTCGTGATGAAAGTGAGGAAAGCTACAGAGGTACAACCCAGAAAGGGTGTTTCCATTTTCCCTCAATGAATTATTTCAGCTGTTTTATCACACATAAACATGTCCCTGGAGAGGGTCTAGAAGTTAACTTTATTTACATACAATTTAGTCCAAGATATCATTACCCCCTCCCCCCCCCAATCACATACATATTCTTAGCATGTCCCCTTTTAGGAATAAAATTTTGGTAAAATCGTGCTAGGCAAATTGTTTACAATTGTGCCTTATTAAATTTCACTGCAGAAATTGGAAATCAGTGTCATGTTTAAAATTAAATTAATTTTCAAAGCATGCATCATTTGCTGCTATTCCAAGCAAGCCTTTCCACATCTTTTAACTCGTGTATGCCTCTCTATTTGAAGTTGGAATGGCAATAAATAGATTACGAAGCATGTTGAATACCTTGAGCCTCCGTTCATTGGCAGTGTGAATGTCTTCATCTCCTGGTTGAATAATAAAACTCTGATTGGCCCATTCACTTTTCACAACATTTAGACCATCAATAATGGCAGTACACTCTTCTTCAGTCAACAGGCTCGCTTTTTGAAGCGATTTGGCGTATGCAATACTGCCCTGGGAAAAAAAATTCATCAGTTTAATGGCACACTTCTTCACGAAGCAAATGTACAGTATAGATCCTAAATTATTTAAAGAAACAATAAGCTTTATTGTGCAAGAAAAACATTATTCTAACTTATACAATTTTGGAGTTACTGTACCACAAAACAGGTTACTGTACTGTAACCTTCCTCAAGGCAGACAATAAGTGTATGGAAATTCAATAATACTGTAAACTGAAAAAAAAGTGGTTTTGAATTTAATGACAAAATACAAAATCCTAACACTTAAATTCTAAACCTATGCTGAAGGTTCGAACAATACATTTAACAAGGTACAGTACATACAAGATAGACAAAATATTGCAATTATAATGAAAGAAAAATAAATTGTGAAATGAAAGGGGGGGGGGAGAAATACAAAACAAGGGATGAAAGCAATTAAGAAGGCTAACAAAAGGCAGTGAAGGAGGCTGACAAAAGATCACATAAAAAACAGCAAGACGGAACAAGAAAGACAAATGTAGGAGTTAAAACTGCACCCATCTTGTCTACTGAACAGTGCAACAGTATACTACATGTAGAAAACATCAAGATGAAAACACAAAATCAATCACTGCCCAAGACATGATAATTTTACTTTTTAAGAAATGTGGTGGAAAATTATAATAATTTAATGCATAACAGCGGAAAATACTCGGGATTGCTGTTAAATTTTTTCCTACTACTGCAGGTAGGCCAAGGTCCAGGCTTCCTTAACGATAGCGAGAAGCAAGACTGTTTCCGAGAGTGGATCCAAGCCCTACACATCCATCATGGCCCAGCTGATACAGTAATAGTCATTACAGAAAATAAAACCACACTTGCGTTTGCAACACCTGATAAATGTTCCCCCTCATAGGAGTGAAAGTGAAAATAGGCCTATGTCAAGATCCAAGAACCTATCTTTTAATCCTCAAATGTTAAAATAATACAGAGTAATTACTTAAATTCTGCAGTTCAGTTTAATTAACTTAGCCTTACAGTGTTCCAATCGCTTGAGAACAATTTGCCCAACTGCTCTAATCGTCTGGAGATTAGAGTAGCTTAACAGCTTAATCAAAATAGTAAGAGCAGAGGCGAGGAGTGCAAGTTATACACCTACATATCCATCCTTGCCTCCCTTCTCTCTGCTCACTATAAAGTGCCACATTCTTACTAAAAAATACCTACCCACTTTATGAGGACATCATGACATCATTTGACACTAGAGACCTCTGTACATTGTTTGCAATATACAGTATTTGAAAAAATCCCAAGTTCCTTAGTCTCCCTTCAGGATCTAACCATGTTTGGTGCATCATTCACAGACTGAATGCACAGGGAAGCCATGCACTGAACTTTTAACAACTGCCAGTCAGGATATCCATTTACGTATTTGCTAGAAAAATTTGTGCTATGTGCAATTATATGTCCAATAAAGTGAGAAACAATGCGAATAAATAGACCAAGTTATTCCCATATGGCACCTTGCCTCATTTCTACCGAAAAATCCCAACGTCTCCGGACCACTACAGCTAAACCACAAAAAGTAGAGAATTTTTACATAGTATACAGGAAGCACAAAAATCTAATTAACAATGTCAAAAGAAACATTTATTTGTTCATGATTTGTATATATTTTTTTTGCACATGACAAGACAATGCATCAAAATAACCTGCAGAGTTAGGGGGTTAAATAATGCACAAATTTATTATTATTATAATTATGATTTTTGTTAATTATATTTATTAAACTGATTTGCATTTCATGGCTCTGCAAGTTGCCACCGCAGTCGACTAGTGAGTTACAGCTTTGCAGTGCTACTGGCAAGCGGGTAATTCACTAGGCAGAACTGCAGAAAATTTGCATTTTAGATATATTTGTCAAGTATTGTATATAAAGTTGCAATATTTTTGAAGACACATACTTTGTAATATTTCTGGTAAAGACATACGTACAGTACTTAATTGGACACTCCCATTTCGTAAAAACAATTGTCAAAAAAACATTAATTACGTATTCGTAATAAATAGTAAAAGGAGCACAATGTGGAAGAAATGAATAGAAACTAAAGCAAACTTAGAATATTACTTGTATATCCTGCTTCCACATAGCCTTGTCGTACGACATGGAGGCATTAAACTGTTCCATCACGGGATCGGTCGAGGAGTCAAACCTGCCCCCCCACAGCTTCACAGCCTCCGAACCTCCTTCACTTGCCATCTCTAAGGCTTTTATTCAAGTCTGCAACAAAGAAAAAAAAAAGGGCAAATGAATAATGTTTATTGGAAGATATAAGAGACATAAGCACAGCAGCATATTCATACAAAATTCAAGATGACAAGTATATTATAATATATATTATATATTAGTGGTATAGTGGTATAGCAGTAATATAGTATATATAGTGGTATTATATATTATTATTATATATAGTGGTAGTATTTATATACTATATATATATATATATATATATATTATATAATATATATGTAATGATTGCCCATTTATTGCACTTTACCAAACTTTGTTTTCCAACTCTCAAAACCATATACTGTATATAGTTAGGTTAGGATAATATGATATTTCTAAAATATCTAAATGTCTTACTGAATTTTCTTGAATTTGTTGATTAGATTATATTCATTTGTTCTTATTGTAGTTAATTATTTTGAGGATTTGTAATTTCCTCCCGATTACTTTGATTTGTGTTATTTCAGATATAATATGTACGGAACAAAGTTAATTATGGCTGAAAACTTAATTATAACTCATTGTAGTACTCTCTTTATACGAATTTATACAGATTTGTTGTATATTATTTACCTACATATACTTCATAAATATTTATTTATTTTGCTTAGCTTAGGCTGTATTAGACTCGGGTTTGGTTGGATTGGCTAGGTAATCTTGTCAATCAATCAATCACTTAGTTCCACCTACACATCGAGACTACCAGCCAAATCTAGCATTAAACTTGGTTTATTCACAGTATTAATATTTGTATTTTAACAAATTATCCAAAATGGGGAATTAAAATAAAGCTCCCCAAATTTTCTGGAGTAATCACCAATATCCCTTTAGTTAATTCATATAACTATGCAAGTTTTGTAGCACAATGGTCTAATGCTTTGGCTCACAGGTCAGGAGGATCCCGGGTTCGATTCCCGGCCAAAATAGAAACGGTTGGCTATATTTCCTTCCACCTGATGCCTCTCTTCACTTAGTAACACCGGCACTCGGGTGCAAGGCAACTGTTGTGGCTTGCATTCCGTGGAAGGAGACCTCGAGTAGGCCTAGGCACCGGCTTCCTTTTCCCCAAAAATAAACGGTTATCAAACTAATATTGTCTAGTAAATCTACTGTATATACTCCTATTGTCTAATAAATCCACTGTATATACTCCTATTGTCTAATAAATCCACTGTATATACTCCTATTGTCTAATAAATCCACTGTATATACTCTAATCACACCCAGCACCAACACAGTAACAGCCACAAGCAATGACAGTGTGGGCAAAGACCTTTTTTTCCAAAAGGAAATATTCCCGTGTGTGGAGTCACGTACTGAAGGTTTGGCGGTCACCTTATCTAGTGAAGGGGGGAACCAGCGCCAAGTTGTGTAGCGCTAACCGCTACATGTGCAGGCGCTCTGTAGCGCTTGTTGCTATGTAGGGGCGACTGGGTAGCGGTTCTTGCTATGTGGGGGCGGCTAGGTAGCGGTTGTTGCTATGTGTGGGCGGCTGGGTAGCGGTTGTTGCTACGTGGGGGCGGCTGGGTAGCGGTTCTCGCTATGTGGGGGCGGCTAGGTAGCGGTTGTTGCTATGTGGGCGCGGCTGGGTAGCGGTTGTTGCTATGTGTGGGCGCGGCTGGGTAGCGGTTGTTGCTATGTGTGGGCGGCTGGGTAGCGGTTGTTGCTATGTGTGGGCGGCTGGGTAGCGGTTGTTGCTATGTGGGGGCGGCTGGGTAGCGGTTGTTACTATGTGGGGGCGGCTGGGTAGCGGTTATTGCTATGTGGGGGCGGCTGGGTAGCGGTTGTTGCTATGTGGGCCCGGCTGGGTAGCGGTTGTTACTATGTGGGGGCGGCCGGGTAGCAGTTGTTGCTATGTGGGGGCGGCTAGGTAGCGGTTGTTGCTATGTGGGAGTGGCTGGGTAGCGGTTCTCGCTATGTGTAGGACGGCTGGGTAGCGGTTGTTGCTATGTGGGGGCGGCTAGGTACCGGTTGTTGCTATGTGGGAGCGGTTGTTGCTATGTGGGAGCGGCTGGGTAGCGGTTGTTGCTATGTGGGGGCGGCTAGGTAGCGGTTGTTATTATGTGGGGGCGGCTGTGTAGCGGTTATTGCTATGTGGGGGCGGCTGTGTAGCGGTTCTCGCTATGTGGGGGACGGCTGGGTAGCGGTTATTGCTATGTGGGGGCGGCTGGGTAGCGGTTGTTGCTATGTGGGCCCGGCTGGGTAGCGGTTCTTGCTATGTGGGGGCGGCTGGGTAGCGGTTCTTGCTATGTGGGCCCGGCTGGGTAGCGGTTCTTGCTATGTGGGGGAGACTAGGTAGCGGTTGTTGCTATGTGGTGCAGGTTGGGTAGCGGTAATTGCTATGTAATTGATATGTATGGAAATTGCAAATATTTGAAAAGCTAATCTACAAGCAGCTTTAATCTTATCTAACTAAACACAATACACTTAGCTCTTGCCAATATAGCTTCAGACCCAAAAACAGCACTAACGATGCTCTGATTTGTATGATTAACTTGATACATGCAGCTCTTGATAAAAATGAGTTCCCTGTTGAGTTATTTGTTGACCTACATAAAGCTTTTGACACTGTCAAAAGTGTCATAACCTTCTTAAATTACATCATTATGGAGTCAGAGGTCACTCCAATACCTTTAGTCTTACCTTAGTGACAGGCTCCAGTATGTTACTGTGAATGATTCCATTTCTCCTAAATGTTATAGAGAATACTGAACTAAATAAAGTCCATCTTTGGCTAACTGCTAACAAACTCATCCTTAACACTGACAAAGCCGTCTATATTTTGTTTGGTAATAAATCCTTAGATCAAGTTAATCTAAGAATAAACAATATCCAAATTAGTAACAAAGTAGATGGTAAATTCCTTGGTGTTCGCATCGATAACAAGCTAAATTTCCAGGGTCATATTCAACATATAGCAAAAAAAGTTTCTAAAACTTTTGGCATTCTAACATCTGATATTATGTACCTCGCCCTGCCCTGGTGACGCTCTATTGCTCTCTCATCTATCCTTATCTCAATTATGGTATTTGTGCTTGGGGTTCTACTACCCAAAATCATCTACGTCCTTTAATTACTCAACACAAAGCTGCTATTAGAACAATATCTATGACCCCAGACAGCACTCGGTACCCTTACTTAAATCTTTCAATATGTTAGATATTAAGTCACTGCACATCCTCTCATGTGTACTCTTATATATTTAAAACTCTGAACTGTAATGCCAATCCTGACATTAAAGCTTCCTAGAAGGTTGTAACAGAAGCCATGAGCACCACACCAGAAACAAATACCTATTTGATATTCCAAGAGTGCGCCTCAATCAAACTAGAAATTCTCTGCAACTCAAGGGACCCAGAATGTGTTATGACCTTCCCAATCATGTCAAAGGCTGTACCTCTCTCAACCAGTTTAAGAGAAAAACTAAATACTACCTAATAAACTTTATGTAACCTACCTTACCCCCTAAATGTCAACCCATGTCTTGCTATTTTCAAACAACACTGTTTGTTGACCAACTTGTAATACTACTGATTTCCGCCATTTTTTCACCCTTTTTCCCTTTTTCAATTCAATTTATGCTTTGATCTTAATTAAATTTTAGTCTAAGTGTTTTAGGCTTTAGGCATAGCATATACCAGCTCGATCTAGAAATCCAACATTATGTTTGTAACTCATCTTGTGTGTGTGTATGTACTTTTACCTGAATAAACATTTGATTTGATTTATGCGGTGCGGGTTGGGTAGCGATAGTTGCTATGTACTCACCTAGTTGTACTCACCAAGTTGTGCTTGTGGGGATTGAGCTCTGGCTCTTTGGTTCCGCCTCTCAACTGTCAATCGACTGGTGTACAGATTCTGGGCTCCATCATATCTACATTTGAAGCTGTGTACGGAGTCAGCCTCCACCACATCACTGCCTAATGCATTCCATCTGTTAACTACTCTGACACTGAAAAAATTCTTTCTAATGTCTATGTGGCTCATTTGGGTACTCAGTTTCCACCTGTGTCCCCTTGTTCGTGTTCCACCAGTGCTAAATAGTTTGTCCTTGTCCAACCTTTCAATTCTTCTGAGAACCTTGTAGGTGATTTTCATGTATAACCTTACTCTTCTGTCTTCCAGGGACGTGAGGTTTAGCTCCTGTAGCCTCTCCTCGTAGCTCATACCTGTCAGTTCTGGAACTAGTCTGGTCTGGTCCGGTTGTGAGCCAACGTCTTCCACCTGTGTCCTTACTCTGCCCGCCTTCAGCTCCAAGGCCACAAGACTGCAACTACATAACGTAGTGATCTTTCTCCGTTTTAGTTTAGTTCATTTATTATGCACCCCATACCCATCTTGTGGGCGGTTGTGGAAAGGGTTACAGAGGCACATAATGGGCTCAGGGACTGGACCCCACAATTCATTTAGCTAAGCAAGTTACAATCTTGATGAGCTAGTTACAAAATTCAATATAAGTCGTCACATCAACAATGGGTTCGAGATCGACCTCAAGTACAGGTTCTAAATTAAGCAACTTATTTACAGATCTGTTTTGTGTATCTCTTCACTTAGTTACAAACGTCAGCCATAGCCCTCAAATACTAACCTTCAAGTGTGAAAAACGAAATATAATCATAACTTTAGAGGTATTTAGTTGGGGCGAGGTTGTCCGCGACGCAATCACTGAGGATCCATGCAAGCAGGCGGGTAACCTTGCCCTTGTTTGTCAATAAGTTGCTGGGGGAATCAGGACCCTTATATGTGGAGACACGTATTTGTCGACTATAGAAAGCAAAATCGTCGTCTTCGTATCGCTTTTATAACGAAAGGTAGACGGGAGAACAACAGTAATGCCTACATTGATAGTTTTGTCACCAGCAAGTACTCACTGGCTGGGACGGAGTACTATGCACAACAACACCTACTTTACCACCTAATTTGATACGAAGAGGTGTTTTCAACTTCATCAGAGACACGGGAGACATCTCCCGTCACGCAGGGTGCAGTCACACCTCCACAGATCTCCAGTATCAGCTCTTGATACTGGTAATGGCTCAAAAGGGCCACCACTTACGGGCTATTCATGCCCGTGCCACCTTTCGGGTGGCTTAATCTTCATCAGAGAGAACCTCTCTATTGGGTGTACTGTACCTGTCAATGACGAATCTTCCTGTCTGCACGCTCACACGCCATTGCAGAATACGTTAGGGGGGTAGAAATAGCCTAAGCTACTCTATCAATTTGAGATTTTTTTGTATTATTTTCTATCACAGACGTGGCCACACATTTACAATGCTAACCAGCATATATACATTTTCTTCTGTCCTCCATGGACAGGGTGAGATATTTGTCAAACATACAGTTCAGAGATTTATTGATCACAGAAGGTGATCGTAGTGCTTTTAAAATGTTAGGCTCGGCTATATATGTAAATACATAGATACCTGTCTAAACATACTTAAACTTGCAGAACACAACCGTCAATGGGCCTCACTGAAGCGGCTTACACAACCGTCAATGGGCCTCACTGAAGCAGCTTACACAACCGTCAATGGGCCTCACTGAAGCAGCTTACACAACCGTCAACACGACTTAATTTACCTGAGGGCCACCATCGCTCTCTAGTGATCTAGACGGGGACAGCAAGCCGACGGCTTGTCGAATGTTCCCCCCCTCCCCCATTTTTCCTGATTTTTGTTTTCAGTTGGCTTATGAACTGCTGTAATGTCTTGATGTTTACGGCTTCGGCGGGTAGGCGGTTCCATGGGTTTATAACCCTATGGGTGAAAAAAAACATGTTTTCTATCCTACATTGTAGCTTGTTGAGCGTGAAGGCGTTGCTCCGTGACTGTTACATTTTAAAGAAGTAGCCTGGATCAATATTGTATTGTTCAGCCTCCATATTGTTCAGCATTTTAGTTTTGATGAGATCAGACCTGTCATGTCTGGCTTGTAATGCTGTTAATCCTGTGGCCCTCGGCAGCCTAGAGCAGCAACGGGCAACCAGGCCTAATGCAGCAGCCTGCAACAGTCAACCGGTCATAATGCAGCATCATGCAACAGTCAACCGGTCATAATGCAGCATCATGCAACAGTCAACCGGTCATAATGCAGCATCATGCAACAGTCAACCGGTCATAATGCAGCATCATGCAACAGTCAACCGGTCATAATGCAGCAGCCTGCAACAGTCAACCGGTCATAATGCAGCATCATGCAACAGTCAACCGGTCATAAAGCAGCATCATGCAACAGTCAACCGGTCATAATGCAGCATCATGCAACAGTCAACCGGCTATAAGTCTGGAACCCTCAACAGTTACAAATGCAGGAACCTGTAACCCTCATCCTCACACACTGTGGGTGTGGGAGGGCCAGTAAGCTTCACCAGCCTTCCCCCCACACGCACACTG